GGGTAATGGCGTATCCGACGAGTCCCGGAGTTCTTGAGTGTACGTTCTCGCGCACAGACCCGCGGATTCCTCTTTCTCTTCTCGACGGGCACAGAAATCCTACGAGGCAATGGAACGCGCCAATAACTATATAGACCGTGATTGGATCTTGTAATGCCTATTACGTTGATCCCTCTTAAACCGTACAAATCTCTGGCTCACGAAAGAATTTCATTTACCTACGGTGTACCTTGAACAATGTTACTTTTAAAAATTCGGAAGTTGCGCGAAAATCTCCCAGGACGTGAACAGTAAAGATTTCCATGGTTCTGTATAGCGTCTTATAGTGTCGTCGCGTAGTGTACATTGTCTCCTGTTGCAAAACGCCGTCTATATTTCAACAAACGCGGTGGCGTTAACGCGACGAGAGTCGTGCCCGAAATTGCGGTGTTAAATTTACTTTGGTCCCGCAACTCGTCGGAAACCGCAGGCGAGTGTACACCGGGAGTCGTCGTAACGCTGTCTGCGGTATCGCCGGACCGACAGGATGAAAAAAAAAACTGATTAAATTTCGCGGCGTTGGTACATCGCGCGACAGCACCGGGAGCGCGTGTTTCGAGCGTTGCGGGACGAAGAAGCGCGTTTGTTGCGACGAGTGGCCATTAACCCGGGAAAAACGGATACCAGGTGGGGAGGGAGGGGGATAAAAAGGGGATTAATTAACCGAGCAGCCCCCTGAACGGACAGTCTGATCGAGCAGGCTAATAATTTCGCATATTCCATTCGGTTGCCAACGGCAGGCCGACGACTAGGCCCGCGTCCCTTCTGAGTTGCGGCCGGGACACTAATTTACATGACTTGCATCGGGGCTAATTCGAGCCGCGGTCGATAGCGCCGGCTAAAGGGGCCGAAACGACGTTTACTTTATTACGTAATCACGAGATAACCCAATATTGACAAAGCCGCGACGACGGCCGGCCGCTTTGGAAGACACCTTATGGCTCTTTTAAAGCCGCGAGACCGTCGCTTCGTCGTTGTCTCCCTCTTCCGTTCTGCAAATTGAACCTCCTAACGGGCGGTAATTTTCGTCGTTAATATTAGATTGGGCAAGATTAACGAGGAAGAATAAAAAGAACAAAGTAACGATAAGTATTGCCTGTACGCAAGACTGGTGCGTTTCGATTAACATGAACAATAACATAGGGGGTAGATTTCGACGCTCACAACTAAGTTCAATCTGAACAATTTGTTAAGAAATACCGCGATCGAGGGTCCAAGAAGGGGTCTCCAACAGCGAATTATCAAATACTCGACGATAAAAACACTGTTTGTTTTTATCCAATCGTACTATGCAAAGTATTGAACAAAATTGTTGTACTTTTCAATTAGTTCTAAACAAATAGTAACCCAAATAAGTAAGCGAGGCACTGAAGTAAATGAAACGTCCATCAAAGACAACCAAATTGTACTTGTCTGGCCACACGCTGACTTGTTCTACTTACTCGACGATAGATGTGCTTTCTCTTTGTGTCCGACCATCGATAGTCGTATACCACTAGCTATTTAAATTTCGATGCATACTACTTCGTTCCATCTACACATTGTCTCAATGTAATTTTACTAACTTGATTAAAAGAGAAAGATCTAACGAAAGGAGGTCACGAAAACAGTACAATTTCTCGATTTCCATGCAACATTCCACAGCAACGAATACCACGAGGGTCCGAAAAGAGGTTCCAACACCGAAATATCAAGTACATTTCCTCTGAACGTTCGAAAATACGGGACCAGCGAACGAAGAACGTTCTCCGCGAAGATGGGCTATCTGCCTACGATAACGTCGTCCGGCGAAATCGGGACGCAAAGTTCTATTGTTCCAGAAGAACGAGGATCCCCTGCTGCCGGCCACCGCGAAGGGGCGTCGTCCAAGTCGGGGGAAATTTCCTACGAGCAATCGCGGCCTCCATCGCGACGTTTCGCGCGCAACTTTAGCTTTTGTGACGACGCCAGACGCCACGGAACTTTTCGCGGCGTCGCGACACACGCGTGCACGCAGAAAACCGTTCCGTTCCAGCATCCGTTCGCGGCCAACTTCGCTAGCCGCTAACTTTTCCTGACGATTCCGGTGTTTCTTGCGACGCGTCGCAAGAAATTGCCCCGACCGCGTCGTCGGAAGTTTGAACAAGATTACGGCCCGCGCGGACGATCGAAGCGAGACTGACGGCGGCAAGAAATCACACGGAGATTCCTGTTGTCGAACGTTCTACTAGTTAGACGATGGCAGAACACCTGAATCGATATCGTTACCGATCTAGATGAAGAAACGTGGAAGAAAACGTGGTACACGGTCGAAATTGCACGAAATATTTTAGCACGGATTAAACGTTTCGCTAGTTTCATCGTGCGATAAATTGTTGTTATAGTCTGACACTGGACGGTCTATATTTCACTTGTCCAGTCACGATGAATATTCTACCGGATTGATCGAAAACGAAGTAAGCTGCGAAGCGTGTAATTCCTCTTTCTAACGCTAATGAACTGCAACAGCGTGAACGATGGAATCTCAAAATTTAGTGGAATTCCACGAGTTTTATTTAGAATCTTATCCTGCTTATTAATCTAGCTTGTCCGACAAGTGTCAAGTTGAGTTACATTTGCCCTGACAATGACGTATAATCAGCTTGTCCGACCAGTGGCTTATTCCGCACCTATAGACAGTGGTAAATGCTATTCCCTTTGTGCGACTGCTCGCGTTCTACTCGTCCGGCCAAACGCAGGTCGGATCTCTCGCGTCGTTAGAACAACACTCTTTTTTTTAACGCGGACGTTCTTTGATCGCTCAAGTGACGTAATAAGTAATACGATAATAATTTCAAAGGACCGCTTTGAAGCTTTCCCGTTGAACAAATAGAGTGCTTTTTTTGCGCGACTCGTGACCACGGTTCAAAGACACTCGAGAGCAAATATTTCACCGAGGCTAACATTTATCGTTCTCGTCGAAGAACGGTGGCTTAAGGGGTCCACGTGTTTGGCGACCAAATGAGAAATTAATATACTCGCGATCGCGCCGAGTCTATAATCTACCGTCGACACGGCCGACAGAGTGAAAAAGTTATCAGAAACTGGGTCACCGTATCGTGCAAAACGACGAGACTCTTAGACCGAAAGCAGTTGGCACGTCGAATAAATACTGAAATTATTAACGTCGCTTGGCACTCCTCCTGCGGTGGATACAAGCGGAACGGTTTAAGATTCTTTATCCCGTCGCTCGTGCATACAACTGTCTAAAATACGTCCTTAAAACGTACCTCGCGGTATGAAAAATATATTTCGTTTCGTGTATTACGCGAAACGTCACGACTTAATAAAACTGATATATCCTGGCGTGTGTCAGAGATCTACGGAGACACTCGGTGCCAATTTCGACGAAGCTTGAAAATAATTCAGACATCGGGACAGAATTCTCCGAATTTTCCAAGCTATTTATCGAACGTCGACCATCGTTTCGAAACTGCATAAAACTCGAATGCATCGCATTTTGTTCGCCGTTCATCGTCCAGTGTCCGATCCCGTGGATTCTTCCGCCATTTGCCAAGGGGATCCCAGACGCTTTTGCGTCTCTCTGCTCGAAAAATTCCATTTCCTCGCGGTGTTCGATCATAGGCGGGCGCAGGATCAAAGAACCGTCGCTCTTTGCGTGTATAAATCGCGAAACTGGCGTGCGCGTGCACATTGTCTCGAATAAATGCGACCAGACGGTTTCCCCCCGTTCATCGAGCCGTCGCATATACTGGCGAAATTGTCGATACGGTGAACGGAGAATTTTGAGATCGCGCGTAAACGGGACTCGACGTCGCAAAGAAGAGTCAACGGAGGGAGGAGAGGTTGTCGGGATGGCGGGACGAACGATTTTCTGAATAACTCGATTCGCCGTACGGACGAAGTCTGCGACCTGGCACCGATGATGTATCGCTTTATAACAAAGAGAATTTATCAATGTCAATTTGTCGCGCTGGTAGCTACACGACCCCCGCCCACGCTGCAAACGTGGCGGGAGCTCCGGAGAGCGGAAAGAATAGAAGAAAACTGGGCAACGAACAACAAAACGACGCAAAGACGTTTAATTATCACCGGCGTGACGTTATCGTTCAATTATATGGAGACATAATGGAGCGATTATGGAGGATTAATTACGAAATTCCGTCGTCTGTTTCGAACGTTGTACTATTGCATTCTTTGCTCGCGATGCATGAAATCTCATTCCTAACGGAGCATAAAATAATTAGAGGGCAATGTGCAGGGCATTGTCGTTCGATGGCGGAGAATTATTTATTTAAATTGTGAGAATATTCCTTTCTCGGATAATTTTTCAAAAAATGCGTATAGAAGCGGACATATGGATCGACGAGGTTTTGATTGAGTTATTGCATTATCGTACTCTATTCGGATCAACGCTCCTCGAGACATGTAGGGCATGAAAATACCGGAGAATAACGAGGGGAAAGAAAAATCGATGTTCGAGGCTTAATAACGCGAATATATCCACCGCAGAAAACAACAACAACACGAGATGCGACTATAAATATAGCGATATGTGGGATCGATATATGGGTTCAAATTTCGGTAGCTCGTGATTCTAAAAACTTATATGGTCTTCTCCTAGTTAGCTACTAAAATTTTCATTCAACGGGTCTGGCTAATTCATTCTATTAAAACGGACCGTGTTTGCGTGCTATTCCATTCTACTTGACTCCGCGCCTAATGTTCCAGTCTGCCAACCTGACAAATCATCCCTCCCCAGGTGTCCGATTAGATACTGCCCTATTCCCCTTGTCCGTCCACGCACCTTCCCTAACGTTCCTAATTTCACGCAGTCATTCATCAAAACCCGCAGTCCAATCTGTTGCAACGGAGCTCCTTTATCAGCGTTACTGTTAATCATTCAGCGTCGAGCGACTCCCTATCGTCCATTTTTCTCCTTGAACACGACACTGATACCGCGCGTACGAACAATCTTGCAGTCAGCCCGCTGGACGTCAAGATAATCGGGGCGAACAAGCCGCTGTCGGCGGGCAAGAGGTACGAGCTGGAGTGCACGACATCCGGTTCCAGGCCGACGGCCACGGTGACCTGGTGGAGGAACGAGCAACGTTTGGAGGAGTCCAAGCAGACCGTAAGTACACCCAGAAACAGTAAAGCGCGAGAATCCGTCCGACTATTCCCAAACGAAACGTAAATCTAAAGGTGTTCCCTTAAATCAGTGAATTATCGTGGCTTTTCCCAGAGACGCTCGTTAGAGATGGACAGTTGGAAGCTTGGAAGATTTATTCTTTTCCGTTTACTCCGTTCGGTGGTCGCATAACGGTGCATAATTTGTAACACAGCCTCGAAGGTACCGTAAAATAGATGATTGGGTGCGTAACCGCGACCAAAGAGCGACGCGTGGTGTATTCCGCGCGATAGCATGCGAGGATATCGTTATCGCGACCCGTGGCTCGCGGCTTAAGCCACGCTGAAAGCGCCATTAGACGGCGAATAATTTAAATCAAAGTAAGCCAGTGACGTGATAACGCTCTGCTCCTACCGAGTGTATGCTCTCGTTACTCGAGCGTAATTAAGGCAAATTGCTGCGTAGCCACACGACGATAGCGATTAATCAGTAGGCGACGAATGTCCTTCCGGCGGAAAAACGACGCCCGAATCGACGGGATTCGCCGGGGATTTAAACGCCAGTTAGACCAGCGTCCGAGCTGCGTCGTCTTCGTTCGAAATTTTAACTTCCACAGACCTGGAGTCGGTCTATCGTGAAACGTACCGAATTGGTTGGATTAATTGAACGAGAATTAATAAATAAGTTGTCATTTCTTGTAGTTTCGACAGTATTCGAAGTGGGGGATGAATAAAATTGTTGTACTTTCCAATTAGTTCTGAACAAATAATGATTCAAATAAGTGAGACACTGGACTAAATGAATGTCTGACTATGCGCTGACTTATTCTACTTACTCGACGATAGTTGCACTTTCTCTTTGTGTCCGACCATCGATAGTTCTGTACTACTTGCTAGTTAAATTTCGATCCATACTACTTCATTCGAGCTACACGTTATTTCAATACAAGTTTGCTAACTTAATTAAGAGAATTAAAAGAAGATCGTGTTTCAGTACCGAAAACAGTAAACTTCGTCATCCGGGAACACGAGATGCGTCGATTTGCATGCAATACACGATAGAGCAATGGATATTCGAAACTCTGATACGAGTAATATTGTTTTAAAAGATTGGAAATGTTTGTCAATGAAAACAGGGAGTACTCGTCGAGCACGACACGCGTTCTAAGCGTGTTGGCGCAAAGACGGCCCCCGGAAGGAACGGAACTTTCGAAACTGCAAGATTACAGGAAGAAGAAGAAGAACAAGAAGAAGCACGATCCTGTTTCCTCCGACGTTCTATAGATTATAGTTCCCGGCCGTATTTCTTCTTGCGCCTTCATCCTCTTTTGTTTAACTTTCTTATATAAGCGGCGGGGCAAAGTCTCACGGAAGGAGAAGTATCGACTTTGGAACAATATTTTCTCTGTTTCCTCGCCCGGCAATCTTCTTCCCCCCTCCCGCCCCTTCGCGTTGCTTTTTTGCCTCTCGACGATCCCCGCGTCGCAAATATTTATACCTCGATTAAACAATACGCGGAAGCGAAAGAAAATTTCACCGGAAAGAATTATAATTTTTAATTCGCCGGCCTCCCACGCGAACGGTAAACGGCGAACGATGAATTTAACATTTTGTTTACGCCGCGAGAGTGGATGGAAACGCCGCGTAATTCAAACATCAAACGAGGGGTAAATAAAAAGTGGAACGTCGTCTGGTCTTAATAAAAACACGGCAATTTCGCCGGGGACGCCCGTTGAAACTCGACCTTCGATATAACCGCGGCTAACGATAACATATTGCTGTATTATCGTCGGGAATGATAATGGCGGAGTACGGCGAGAAAGTTTCGCAGTTTCGCTCGACGATAAATCGCGAGATACTCTTCCTCGTCTACGTCTTCGTCTCCGGTGGATCGTTTCGCGGACAATAGCGTAGAAATAATTGAATGCGCGGCAGCGTTCGTCAAAGACGTTGTTTTTGCCCCGCTGCTTATCATTTTAAAGAAACGCGGGGGAAAAGAAACCCATTTTACCGGGTAACTATTGTCGCTCGACTGTAATAACTATCGCGAAACAATGTAGAACAAATCGCGGCTCCGGTGAGCAGAAACTTCTCAAAAGCTCGTTAGTAATACAAAAAGCGCGATCCTCGAAAGCTGTGTTTTTACTCGACGGCAAATAACCCGTTTGTGCGTTCGCAAGAATATTCTATTATTAACGTCAAGAACCTCGACCCCGGAAGTAATTAGTGTAAAGAGATAAACAAGAAACGCAAAGACACCGTGAAAGGAATGGCTGATTGCAATTAAAATAATACATTTTTCGCGATATCGTTCCTTCCGTTGCAAAATTAAACGGGGAAAGGCTTTCGGCTAAATTTAATTTACACGGAAAGCGATGCAATTTGTCCACTTCCGGGAATCTGGCGTTCGGTTCGCTTTATTTCGAATTACTCACCACCGGATTAAACTGGAGCGATACAACTTATCGGCGAGCGTCTTTGGAGGATCTCGAGGCGATCCCATACGAATAAGTTTTCTTATCCTTGGTTGTCCTTAATCTCGCATGGCCCATAAAGGATTTCTGAAAGAGTCGTTATAGATTGAGTCGTACGACAAAGAGGAGTTCGTTCGTTTCGCGAGTAAAAAGAGTATATTAGAAAATACCGATTGTCGGGTATTTCTTGACGCAGCGTGTTCATGTGCTCGCGAAAACAACCCCCGGTATCGCCTGGCAATTTGGGACGAATATTACGGAGGTTCGATATCACGGTACCAGACGCGCGACGTGGAAAATAAAAGGAAAAGAAACACGGAGAACGGAAGGCGAAGTTATCATAATGTTGTTACAGACTTCCAGCGATGGGAACACGACCACCAGTACCTTGTCTTTCGTGGCGACTAAGGCAGATGCTGGTAGACACTTGTCGTGTCGGGCTGTAAATCCAATCATGGATACCGAGCCGATAAAGGACGGCTGGACGCTCGAGATACACTGTAAGCGTATTAAAGACACGGCTGGGAGAACGTTACCCGCGTTGGTCGATCCGTTACGATTATCACGCCAGGCTACGACTTATTGACGTTTTCAATTTACAGACACGCCGGAAACCAGGATACAGCTGGGTACGTCCCTGAATCCTAACGCGATACGCGAAGGCACCGACGTTTACTTCGACTGTCTGATCCACGCCGAGCCGCCTGTATACAAGGTGGAATGGCGACACTTGGTAAATATATCGTAATTTTATACTACACGCGCGGGGAAAATCCCTGCCGACGAATCGGATAACTAAATTTATAGATCGACGGACGAACTCGGAATTGAAATCCAATACGGTGGATCGATTCCTTCCTGCGTTCTTCGGGGATCGAAAATCCCACCTGTTTCCTATTTATTCGAGAATTTTAATATCAACATCGAATGTACGAATCGCTGGATTTCGATGGAAAATTATTTTCTTCCAAGATGACAAAAATGAAACACCTGTGAGGCTCGAGGAAGAAGACCTGTCGGGTTAAAATCTGTGGTGTTTCATTCTAATTGCAAAAAATTGCGAATGACTTTCAGAGTCGATTTTCGAAACAGCGTTGCAGAATCCTCGTGTTTCTTCCTTTGTTTTCGTTATGTAGAACGCGTTCAAATTCTACGTCTCCGGTTTATATGCATACAAATGGTCGTAAATTTGATTGTATCTCCCCTCTGAAAAGTTTGGCTGGCTCAGCATGAAACTGAGATTAATCTTCCATCTTTGCTGCCTCATCTACAAGACCTTTAACACTGGTTTCTTCTACCTCCTTTGCCAATCCTCCGCGCCGTTCCTCTAATTCTCATCCCACCCGTTCACGGTGATTTATTTCTACTCCTCTTCGCCATACTTCTTAATTCCGGACCTCGTTTGACTAGGTACCTTCTCATTATTGCACCTATTCCTCGAAATTCGTGACCTCTCAACCTACTCTGCATTCGAATGCATTAGTTTCTTTTGTCTGCCTTGCGTTCAATTGACTTGCCAGTTGAAATATATAATATAAAATGCAACGGTTCGTGGACGAAATTTCAAAGCTTGTTCCATCAGGACCGTAAACGTTAACAAAGGAAACTCAACAAAAATTTTTCTCATTCGCGTTGGACCGCCGTGATAGCGCGGAGAAGTATGTCCTTTCATCCCAAGGCCAATTTAAAGAAAGCCTGTTTCCCAAGGATCAAAAAGTTTCGAAAATGGCCCGTTTCCAAGGTGTACCAGGATCCCAAAGAAGTTCGCCGGTTGCAAGGCCGCGCGTCGTGTTTGCGCGCGTAACCCGCCAGTCTATTAGTATAAAAAGGGAAACAAACTTCGGGCGAACAAGGTATTCAAAGTTTCGTAATAAGTTCGATCGCGTAGGTGAGGTCTCTTTATCTTGCTGCAACATCGAACAGACCGGAACGGCGTGCACACGCGTGCATATTTCCCATGGGCCGCGGAATGCGGCGGCAACGTTTTCCGCTGTATAAACGAAATTGCGATCGAACGAGAGGAAGAACCTGTTTCGAGGAAATAAGGATCTCTCGATTCGAACCGATAGCGATTACGTGGACTGTGAAGTGTGAAAGATTAGAATATACTTAAAGAGAAAATCCTCCGAAGTAAATCATTACCCGTTGTTCCGCTATGGAAACGGTTTCAGGTGGGAAAATTGACGAGAGGAGGAAACTTTAGTATAAATTATAAACGAGACTCGCGCGAAACGAAGACGAAAAACATTTTACCGTTTCGTACAAGTTTTACCAGCTTGGTAAAGTTTGCGTATAACTTCTAATTCAACGTACTAAAGCCGCCCGTAAATCGGCCTTTGTTTCAGGGCAAAGCGCTTCATCACAACATCACACAGGGTATCATAATCAGCAATCAGAGCCTGGTGCTGCAAGGCGTCGACCGTAAAAGCGCAGGCAATTACACTTGCGTCGGATACAACGCGGAAGGAGACGGCGAGAGTTCGCCGTTTTACTTGAACGTAATGTGTACGTGTCGCTGCTCTGAATAAATAATCAGCCTCTTTGCTCAACAGTCTCGGGCGCTTTCCGAGCGAGCAATTTCCTGCGTACGGGCGCAGATTCTTCCCAGGACACGTTCAAATGGGGACAATTAACCGTTCTGTTTTTATTAGGAACGCGTCGCGTAATCCTATCGCGCTGAACGGTCGCAAAATTTCGGTAATTCGAAAAATAAATCGTCCCGTCGAAAACCGTTCGCCGTCCATCTTTCGCGTTCAACGTTATAAATAAAACGTTCCCGCCTGTAATAACCGCCTGCGTCGTCGTTTTATCGCGTTTTACATCATTCGTAAATAATTTTCGTCGAAATTTATTAATTTCCGCGTGAAAAGTTCGCCCGTTGCAAAACACGCGAAATCGTTCGGTTCAAAACAAAAGGGGGACGAAATTTAATAAAATGGAAATTTAATATGAAATTGTCAGCGTGCTAAAATTGTTGCGCTCGACGTTCGTTTGCCGTCGCCGCTCGAAAAATTGATGGAAAGATCTACGAAATTTGTTTTCTACGTTCCTGCGTAGACACGGGTGTTCACTTGATATTTACTATTGAAGATTTCAAAGCACGTTTAAAGGAAAAAATCATTTTTCATATTGTTTACCGGAAATACACTCTTTTTTTTCTGCGTTATCATTACACGGATATATTTGTTCGTTTTCTCTGATTATTATATTAAAGTTACCAAAATGAGAAGCGAGCGGGCGCATAAAACGCGAAAATGGCGTCGCGTCTATGCGGTAAGCGCGGTCTGTCGCAAAGGCTGAACGTTATTCGCGGCACGATCGCGCGAAATAAAGTCGAACGATTTCGATCGTGATTCCAGTCGCGCCCACCTGCAAGCCGAATCAGACGAAGGTCCACGGGGTGGCGAAACAAGAGAAGGCAAACATATCCTGCCAAGTGGACGCGAACCCGCCGGAGGTGCAGTTCCGCTGGACCTTCAACAATTCCGCCGAGAGTATCGACGTGGCGGGCAGTCATATCGCCCGGGCCGGCACGTCCTCTATCGTCTCATACACGCCCATGACCGAATTGGATTACGGCACGTTGCTCTGCTGGGCGAGCAATCGAATTGGACATCAACAAGTGCCCTGCGTCTATCACATCATAGCGGCCGGTGAGGTATCTTTATGTGATGATTCGATCATGGAAATCACCGTCAACCGTGAAACGTACCGTTCAGACGGTGCAAACGATATTTCATTGATTCGATCCGTAATCGACGGCCTACAACATTACCCCGCGCGACCAACACCCAATTCGCCCACTTTACCATTAAAAAAAAAATTAACGAAATTTGCTCGTAACCCAATTGTTGGCTGTGTCTATTCGCACGTCATCGAGTAATTTTTACATTCACGAGGTATTCGTAAAAACGAAATTAAGTAGTATACGTTTGAAAAATTATTTGAAATTAAATCATACGTCCAGGGGGTTATTATAATTACTTTACGTTAGAATCTATGATTTGATTAAGTAATTTCAAACAGGAGAAGACTCGCTGAACAGTTCTATTCTACTTGCCCCGACAATTGTCAGTTTTATCTACTGGTCCGACCAGCGGCGACCCACATTCTACTTATCTGACCGCAGAGAGACCCGTTTTCTACCGGTCCGCTGAAAGAGTTATCTTTCTCTACTTTCGTCCGACCAGTTGCACTTCTGTTCTACTTCCCGGAGAAAGGACACTCACGATCCCTTAATCTGATCATCGACGAGCCATACTTTACCGGTCTAGCCTGGGGATCAACCCGTACCTCAACTGTTTTAAGCAGGGATCCTCAACACTGCAATCATATATACTTTACAGTAATGGAACAGTAGATCCGTATACTACTCATTTGATCTTGGGTGTTCCACCTATCCAAATAGTCTGCACAAAGACCTGCTTTGCTAAAGAGGGAAGATCTATTTCGTTTGTTTGGCCAGAGCCGCGATTCTGTATTGCTGGTCTGATCAAAGACGACCTATATTCCCCTTGTCTTCCCGGAAACGGTCCTGCTTCGTACTTGTCCGCACGGTGACGATTTCTGTTCCAATCGACTGCCTGTGTAGCATTCTATTTACCTGGCGGTGGCCAGAAACGCTCTTGCGGTTCGATACTGCCCCATTTTTCGTACGAACGACTTATTTCACAGGCTTCGCTCGAATCGTCGGGATCGAAACGGAATGATAAAGTTTTTAAATTTCCACGCGGACGGCGAGGCGTCTCCTCGAGAGATACCGACAGCCGCGATCGGACGTACGAAACGTTTCACGGTCGGGCGTAATTGCAAAAAAATTCCGGCAGCACGTTAATCCGGAGTTGTTCGCGCTATGCTGACTTTTCAAAAGCGACGGTCCCGCCGTGCGCAATAGCGGAGCCCGGGGATTAAAACGGAAGTTCGTTACGCGGGTGTGTGTAACCGTGCTCTTTTTTGGGACGCGCATTCCCGGTGATCTATCGAGGCGATCCAATTGTTGCAGCCGCAAAAAGTATCGCTACGGAACCGACCACCAACATTCGAGAACGCTGAATTTTCGTTAGCCATTCTTGATTATTTAATAATCGAGTTGGACGGTCCGCGAGCACCACGCAATTTACGTGGAATTCTAAATAATCCCTCCAAAAGTTTCGCGTGTTTTATGCTTACGAAAATCAAAGGGAAACTTAACTATTTCGCGAGAGAAAGAGAGCTCGACCAAAGGAAAAGCCTTTCAGGATTTCGAGGTATCGAAAAGCTCAACACGCATTGCAGCAAATGTCCATTCAGGTTGTTTTGATTTCGAGCAACTACTTCGACGGTGAAATTAGCAATTCCGTTTCTTTCCGCTTTTATTAATTGCTCCTCGCCAACGACAGAACAACGTTCGGTCGAGAATCTGGAACTAGCCGGAAAGTAACGACGTCAACTGCACAGGCGGCTACGGTAAAAATTGAACGCACTTCCCGGTGATTTCGTTATCGCGAACGATACTATTACTCGTGAATTTTAAAACACGCTGAAAACGAAGAAGGATAGTAGACACTATGGGTAAATAAGTTTAAAAAAGAAGCAGTGTCTGCTTCTTATTTGCGCCTCGATAAAACGGAAAGGCCCCCTCTAATTGCAATTCAAGCGAACAAAACTTAAATTGCTACAGTCTTTGGTAAACTAATAATTCAAATGAAATTACTCTTTATCGTGCAGCCGATAAACGAACCGGTCTCTTTTATTTTCAATTACTCTCCGTTAAAAAAGACTCCACTGTACCGTTGCTACGCTCCACTTACCGATATTAAGCATTTTTAACGTACCAGCAGTTTCATCGTATTAAAGCAACTAAACCGAACCGTACGCCTTTTATCTTCCCGCCGTTATTAACTTTTAAACGTCCTGTCTATTGTTTTCGCAGTTCTATCTTTATCGCCGTGAAACAGGTCGGACGAATAAATACGACGGCAAATATTTAGCGAATTTCGGAGTAAATTATAAGCGACAGGAGCAACGGAAACGCAGATCGATACCCGCTGCCCGTGCGCGTCCAAGTTTTGTTGAATTTGCCACTGCCTTATCGATAGCCTTCCAACGGCCATAAATTGCACGGGATGTGTCATGAATTGCCCTCGACTTTTCGCGTTTCGACATCTTTAAAGCGATATGGACGTGCGTCCCATTAAAGTTCAAACTACTCGGACGCCCTGTCGGAAGTGAAACATTCCCAGCGTTATGAAAACTATTCTCGACTTACCGCCGGAACCCGGACTATCGAAGAAATCTCAAACTTCCACCGTGCGTTCTCTGGCCGAATAAAATTCCGCGATCGTGATCCTCCTTCGTTTCGGGGACGTTGTACCATTGTGGTTGGGCAAGATACCTGAAACAAAATAAATTAGAAAAGTGTTATTTCACTGTTTACCAAGATTTTGTATAAAAGTTCGACAAAAGAAAGATTGCAGCTCCCCGGTTCCTATCGCTGAACTGTTCCCTAATAATTGTCGGAATACGTCGAACGATCGTGTATTATTCATGACCGACACCCCAAAGATTTCCCGTGGAACCATTGTCGCGAGTAAATCGGCCAGCCCCGACGACTAACGAAACGAAAGTCGAAATCGAAGATAAGTCGGGCAGCGCCGTCGCGATCGTTCCCGCGTATTGTCGTCGCGACGCGGCTCGCATACGAACGAACCCCGGCGATAACGGACGTTACACGAGATGCATTTTAAGCGGTGGCGTTCACCGATGCACCGCCAGGTCGACCGGACATGGTTCACAACTGCACCACCTCGAACACGTCGACGAACTCGTTCTCCGTGCGGTGCTCGGAGGGTTTCAACGGCGGGCTGCCGCAGTCGTTCCTGCTGGAAGTGAGAGAGAGTAACAGCCAGGAACTGAGGGCCAACGTCACGTCTCTGGTGCCAAGGTTCAGCGTCACTCACCTGGAGGCTGGTGCACTCTACCAGGCCTCCGTCTACGCCTACAACGACAAAGGGCGCAGCGAGGCGATGGTCGTACAGGCTGGTACGCACAGGCTGCCCGAGAAACAACTAACGTCCGAATCAGGTGAGAGCAAATCGATAATCTACGCGCCCCTAAAAGCTACTGAAATTACGGACTGTACGAGAGGTTTGGGCAAACTTCGTCCATTGAAAGGGAACCAGAGATTTCTGTTCTCGTGTGACCAATTCTAGATGTATTCTACTTGCATCGCGAGTCTAAATTATTTTTCTTCTCTGACCTTGTTACAATAATATTCTTACGTAAAATTTAGAAACATTGCAGACTATACCAGAGGTTTGCACAAACATTGTCCATTGAAATAAAAGAAGAGATTTATGTGCTCGTCCGACCAATTACAGGTGCATTCTACTTGCACGACGAGTCTAACCTAGTCCTATTCTCCTAGTCTGACCAGAGCCCATATTTCACTTGGCTAACTGTAGGACTTCCTGGTGGCCTCATCCGTTTAGAATACGTTTCCTATTTTCTCTGTACCTACGTAAAGGGTATTATTCTATAGAACCAGGAACAATCCTACTGGCCGATCTACGTTTCATTTGTCTAACAATGCGATATTGTAAACGCATTTTCCAATTTTCTCTAGAATAACTAGTATGAACCTAATTTCCTTGCCTGATCTTGCGACTATATTTTACTCCGGCTAACCGGGGGCTATCCGGTACCCCTCTCGTCTGTTTAAAAGGTCGTAGATACTCCTACGTTGTCTGGCGGTGACAGTCTTATTCTACTTGCGAGGCCACCAACTGTCCTATTCTCTCTGCCTAATAGGTGACGACCTATATTTCATTCGCATCGAGTGCAAACGATCCGTTAAATGGAGCTTCTGGCCAAATTAAGCGCTTACAATACGCGATAAATAATAGAAAATAAAACGAACGCGAGCAACACATTTGTATCGTTTTATTAAAACTGACAAATAAACGTATTTATTGCGCGAGAGAAGCGAATTCAAAAAATATCCATACATTTTTCCAATAATATAACAACGTTGCGATTGAAACCTGAAGAGGTGAAAATAATATCAAAAACATATACTTTTACAGTTTTTAAACCCCGATAAGAAAACACTGATTTTAGAGGATACATTTTACTATTGTATCCACAACTACCAGAAGTAAAGTTATTCTCCTTATCCGACTAACAGCTATCTGTATTTCTCTCGTTCTAGCTCGAGATCCATGCTGTGTCTGTTTAGAGAAATGTACTGTACTTGTCTGCACGACGCTTGCCTTATTCTACCCGTGCGACCAGGTAGATCGCTGTTCTCCTTGTATGGCCAACGACGATCTATATTTCACTTGTCCAACTAGAGACTATCCGGTACTCCCCTAGTATGTTTGGAGAGTTGTACATTTTACTAGCCCTGTCTGTACGGCGACAGTCTTGTTCTACTTGGGCTACAAGTGTCAGTCCTGTTCCCATTGTCTACTCTGTGTCGACCCTCGCTCTACTTATTCCCTCTGTAATCATCGCGTATTCAAACTGTCTAATGAAAGAGTTATCCTTTTCTACCTTCTTCCAACCAGTGTATTTCTATTCCGTACGTTAGAATCTTTCTTTAAACGTCACTGTTCTCCAGGGTTACAGAAAACAGTATCTTTCGTCATTATTTTATTTACAACCCAACAAGTATATTCTAAGGTTTCTGAAATAACTATCTTTCGCTTCGTTTCGTTCAATTACAAGCTACCTCGCATCCGTGACGGATATTTTCTTCCATTCGTCCAACATCGATCGCGGTGGTCCATTTATAAAATTAAACGGAATATTGTGCGAGAATTTTCATCGTGCGTTCGGTGTAACGGCCTTATTGTGCTGCATAAATTTATTGCGTTGACGATAACCCAGAATATAACCACCGCGTAAACCGAAGACAATGAAACGGTAATGAGCGAGTACAGTAAAAACCGCGATGTAGATTAAAATGCGGGAAATCGGAATAAATAAAGTACAAACACGGAAGCTGCGGAATTCTTTGTTGAAAACACGGTAAATTAAAACTCCGTGGTTTACGATCGCTCTGTTCTGAAATCATTCTAAAGAATGCAACAACAATTTCAGTCTTTCTGAAACGTTATAAATATTGTACAGATACCTATTGTCTTAATAACTCTCGTAACTCCGAAGGGTAGAGATCTTTCCCTTATTATTATATTTATAATCTACCATCAACGAAACAAGAAGCAAGTATAGTTCCGATCGCGTGACACACCTGTGCAAGTGGCAATAAATATTATCTGTTCATAATTACGCGAGTACCGTTCCCTCGTTCTTTCCTGAAACATATATATCCCAATTATCTTCACGCGACCGTTTAACTCTTCGTTATAAAATTACTTCCGATATCTGCTGGAAAATAACATGAAAATCGAATACCTTGGAAACCATTGTACGAATTTCCCTATTATTCTGGTTGCAGAATAAACGCTGGAGAATCTCTCGTCACGGTTACCAATTATAGGAAAAATAGCTTGGAATCTTAAATCAATAAGAAGCTTGGTTTTGTCATATTGATATTAATTGACTTAATTGGACGAGGATAATGTTCGCCAGGACTTGCCAAGTTTCTTATTTAATTTTCGAACGTTTATTTCAGAGAGGCCGCGATCGAACATCAGATTGATGCCGATGTTGAGCGTGATGATCGGCGTGGTGACCGCCCTGATCATCGTCGCGGTGATAGTGATGGTCGTGCTAAGAATTCAGCACACGCAGGTGGACGAGCAGAGCAAGTCGCAGATGGAGGACCACGGCAAACAAATGAAACCGATTCCCATACAGCGGGAGCTGAGGTTCCGCGAAGGTAGCAGTCTACTCTCGGATGAAAAGCATCCCGCCAGCCCGTTCAGAAAGCTCGAGAGCAGCGGTGACATAAGCGAAAACGACGAGAAGAACCCGGACATCATACCTCAGCAGATCACTGGTTCGTGTAATCCCTAATTCTTCGAACGTGACGCGCTTTCTCGATCGCGAACGTTTCGAACGAGTCGAACGTTTTCTCCGTTTTTTATTTTTTCTGTTTGTTTCTCGACCGTTTCAAGCAGGCGACGAACCGTCCGAGTACTTGAGGAAGCGACGCCTCGTCTCGACGATCGAGACATCGCCGTCGAGGAGCTTGCTGGAGCACTCGACGGTCACCTCCGTCAGCGGACACGGCAGTTGCGTCGGTTATTGCACCATCCGCAACGGCATGCCGCTGCACGAGTTCTCGAATTTGACAACGAAACATAAAAGCGTAAGTTCAATCGATTTAAATCCTGTTCCCATAACCCAAACGCTGTCTACTGATTTTCGAATATTGCTGGACTAAGATTGCAAAATGGAGTCGTCGTTAGTCGATGGAAATATTCATTTTCGATCACTTCTTGCATATCATTTGATTTTCGTATATTCGGAGGATCTGTTGTTTCTTGTGACGCGAACCAGTCGAAGCATGACTTCCGGAGTCAGTTACCGGACATTTCCCCGTACGTGATCTTCAGTTTCAGCCGATAGTGGGCGACGTCTACGAGACTGGTGTCTGCACTCTGCCGAGGCAACACTGGCCGAGCCAAAGTATGCAATCTATGTCGATGACGATGAGTCCACCGATGCTGTACAGCGGTTTGGGAGTCGTCAGCAGACCCTGTCCCAGCGGTAGCTTGCTGACGAAGGACGTGGAGGCGAGGATCCCCGGCCAGTGCTGCATCCAGTCGCAAAAGGACGGGAAGATGACCACACCGATCGTGATGGCCAAGAGGGAGAGCTCCGTGTGACACTTTTGTCGCACGCAGACGAGCGCTGTATAAAAGTATCGTTCGACGCACTTGTTCGCGTAATTTGTCGCGTGATCGGTGCTTTGGTACTCCTCACCGAAGTACCACCCAATAAAACGATCGATCGTTTCGAAGACGTTTCACTTTATGTTGTGCGAATGCGAGTGAATCGTGGGATTCCAAGAAATTCTTGTTACCCTTTTCGTTGGTTCCGGTTGGAACGTTGAGTATCGTGGAGTATTCGTGCGCAGTAGATCGTGGCGCAGGGGAGAAAATTAGTGGAGAGCGTGCAATGCATTTCTTATCGTGGAAATTCTTCATCGGAAGCGTGTAAATTGTAGTTAAGTTCCTTGTAAACTTCGAACATTCTATTCTTTGTTTAGACAGTCGATTACGATGTAGTTTCAGTATAGCGTGTCTCTGTCTTGGTTCATTTACACAAGACTGTTCGAACACTATGAATTACGAGTACGAGTGAAACAATGGTAACTCGAATATTTGAGTAGAAATATCTTTGTTCAAGTATTATCGAAACCAACAGACAAAATTAGAATAAGTTACCTTTTGTGACCAAATGTGAACAGAGTATCGTTGATAAAATATCACAAATGGAGGTAGAGTTTGAAAGAGATTTGTTGAAGAAGTTGATTTACGGTTCACGTCTACTCGAATACTACGAATATACAGGAAATATTTAATAACATTCGAACACTCAATTATTCGAATAGTTAAGTATTTTAATAGCGTTCAAGCAGTCGAATATTCGGATACGGATCGTCGAGCACTCCCCGATCGAAAGTAATTTTTCTCGATGGCAGTGCGACCGATCGAAAAAAAAAATGAATTGCACGCTTTTTGCTCGTTTTTTGGACAAAGAATCGTTATCTCGTTCGCGCCACGGTTGCATCGTTGGACAGCCTATACGTATATTCCTCGAACGTAGCTCGTGTTCGAAAAGTTTGACTCGCGTGCGTATCCAATCAACGCGAATCGAGAGCCCGTTTTGTTTCGAAACGAATTCACTTCCTTTATTTTCCAACCCCGCGGCGGCGTTCGCGTTTACGTTTCTCTGTTCGATCAAAGTGCCCTTTATACATTGAACGGACGATTCTACCATGTTTGTGAATGTAAGAACAAAAAAAGAGAGAAATTAAAGATAAAAACGAAGAACCTGTAGAAGCCGTGCGTTGTGAACCTGCGTGTGTACGGGAAATAAATTATTATTGATGCAACACTTATACATACATGTGCACGGGTGTTCGCGCGTGCTGTACATATACCTTGAATACGGATGATATTTTATACAAAATCGCTAGTATTAAACAGAGAGAAAGAGAGAGAGAAAGAGAGAGAGAGAGAGAGCGATAGAAAAAAAGGTTTATTCCCACTTTTACTATGGTACACTGTACAATTCGTCTAGTCGATGTAAGTATAAATAAATGAGCATTGTATATGCGAAAGTCGGTCGAGCAGCCCAGAATAACGTACACTGAAGAAGAGAAGGCCATTTACGAACGAGATCGTGATGCGGAGTAACAAAAAAAAAAAAAAAAAAAAGACAAAAAAGAAAAATATAGTCAATGGGAACAAGAATTTCGTCTGTGTGTGTGTGTGTGTGTATGTTGACGTGCATCGGGGTGGAGGGAACGAGGGGAAACGAGGACACAGAGACATATCGTACAGCTTGCCATCATCGAAAATCGAAATTAACAAAAGAGTAAAAGAAAAAAAAACGAAAAACAATACGAACGAACACAACGGAGTAAAAGTATTTAGATGAAATTAAGAAAAAGAAAAACAAAAAAAAATAAGTATGAACACACGAACACAAAAGAGATCCCCCATTACTTTCGTCAGTATGCAGTATTCTGGATTTTATTGTAAAATTAAGTATCTGTATAATGTATAAAGATTTAAAAGATTTCCTTCGAAGTAATCGACGAACGCGCGTTGTTTTAACGAAGACGAACGAGAGAAACCCTCGTCTTTGCGCTTAGGGACGACCGATTAAAGTTTCCCGCTCGCGGTTACGTAATCGCGACAGCTCTTCTATTGCTGTTTCGATGCTTAACGAAAGCCTCGAGTCGAGATTTCATTCGGAGATCGTTCGACGTTCGCCTGTTGCGCAACCTACGCCCGGAAAGTTCCAGACAAAAGCATCAAAGTTAATACCGATGTAAATCGATTCCTTCTACAAATACCTTAGCCACTCGATATTTCCTGCCTTCGGAGATCTTTCAAGCAGCTTTGAAAGGGACTAGCATGTTTATAACCGCAATAAAGTCTCCAGGCTTCAATGGTACTAACCCAGACCAAAGTGCATACATAATGAATGAATTGCAGGGGTAGCTGAACTTGAAGATTAAAACAGAACGTTTTTTTTTTTAGAATTCCTATAATATTAATGTTTCGAGAGACAAAATAGAAGTAATTTATACCTGAAAACAGCCCTTATGGAATAAACTCTTCTATAAATTTTCTATAATTTATATTTGCATGAAATAAGACTCTTTTTATTTAAAGCTACGGTAGAACCTCGATAATCCCAGAAAAACAATGGTGGAAAATACTTGCTAGTATAGAGGTAATCGATCCGATAAGAAGCCCCACTGACAAAATATACTTCCTGTATAGTTACTATTAATTATCAGTTATTTCCACATCCAACTTCGCAACAGTAATCCCCGCTTTCAAGTCACAACTTCTACCCCGGATTCATGTAAGAAAATCGCCATTGCTTGTGTTTCTTCAGCGACCAATAATTAGAGACCAAAATTGGATGGTCCTAATTTTGTCGCGTGAAAGCAACTTACTGTAATTGCTGAGCAACTATCTCTTCCATTTACCAACACGATACAACGAACAAGAGTTTTCAATTATCAAAGTTGTACTTATCGAGCTACCACCGTAGTTATTCTAAGAACGATAGTTAATATTCCAGGATTCGTTCGCGTTTATAATATACAGTTTGCACCGAATTCCATCTAAAACACCTTTTATTCGTCGCAGAACTTTCCGGCTCTAGGCTGCGCTACCGTATCCGAATGAATAATAGAAAGATGGATCGCGTGAGCATGGTCTACCCATCGTCGTTGAAATCTCGTGGAAGAGCGTGTACAGCTTTCCTAATTAAACTTTCTTGAAGCAGGATCGCCGGTTCTATCGACGAACGTATTTGTATTTCGCTTCGCTCTGTAAATGTCTCTACCTTTCCGTGCGCGATAAAGACGTCTGTGTGTTTAAAGAAGAAAGGAATGAAGAAACGGAAGACACGAGGAAAGACCCGGATACTTATTTGGCAGATATCATCCGATAACTTTAAGAAGATCCCTGAGTGAGAGGCCTGAGCTATGAGATTTCCTCTACTGTGCACAGCTCGTAAGTTGCCAACAAATCGAATCGACTGTACTGTAACTATATCTCGTGACGAGGATAAAGAAATATAGAGCGTGATCGTTGAAAATCTAAATCTCTGTGACAAAAAGATTATGTTGCTAGTAGCAAATAAGAAAAGAGGTGTCTGATCACCTCAGGGATCTTATTTAAGGGGTCGAATGATAACTGGACGCGCGACACGTTTGCAGTAAACCGGGCGAACAGTGGCTCGCTCTGGCGGGTTGGTCGTGTAATATATCGAAGAAGTTTAGTCGTTCTTTCGAGTCCTCTAGATGAATGTGTTCTTTCGATCGCTAGTCGTTAAGTTTTATCCACGGCGACGATACGTCTGACTGTATAATGTTTAAAAGATGCGTAAAGAGAAAAAATAAAATGCGTGAATCGTTATTTATTATTGCCATTGATGGAATTGATGTCGGTGCATAGCCAGTGTACTAAGAGGAACTTTAATAATCGTTAACGGAAACGCCTATATTTCTTCTTGTATTAGCGTTCGCGCCAATTGAGAGGACTATCCCGTGGTTGGATAGTCGCGGCAAGAAAATGAAAATGCGAAGGAAAGAGAAAACGGTTTCTACGATCCATTCATGCCCAGCAGCACAATAAATCTCGAACACAAACTGCCGAAACATCTTTTTGATAGTTTATTCGTACAATCTTCTCTGGCGCGCTCGACAACGTTGCGAAACGACACGGACGCGTTACCAGTGCCCAATGAAATTGATTTTCGTCGAACTTTTCGAGAAACGATCGCTGTTTCTAGCGTTGCCCGCTGCGGGACACGCGTTTTTTCGTATCACCACCGACGCTTCGACGATTCTCCCTCTCGAACGCGTCGCAGAACATGAATTCGTGGGGCGGCGGCCAAATGCTGTCTGCAAGTTAATCGCCATCCGTTACGAAAACCTTTCCACTGTGACTGCAAAGGTGTTCCTCGATCTTGCGCGAAGCTACTCTCGTAGTGCAGAACATTTTGGTCGGTCCGAGAAACGGTCTTTGCGGTCTTTGCGCGCTGAAACTGGCCGTGCTCTCGACATAGATCCGCAATTTCGAAAATAAACGCGACACTCCGCTACTAAGTAATCACCAAATGTTTCTTTCGATTTATCACTTCTTTCTAATGCAACTTGGGACACGGATGGAGCATCGAAAAGTATTAGTTTTTTACCGGAGGGTGAAAACTATCCTATTTATCGAATACGAGGAAACATAGTCTAAATACAAACTTTTTCTAAATCATAATACGGAAAATATAAACGATTTCATTTTCCACAAACGGTGATCGCAATAAATAAAAATACGTGACTAATATTTTTCAGTACTGTATCTGTGTGCCAAGATAACCGCTAAAATAACAAACAAAATTGCTGTCATCGCTCACACGCTGTATGGCCTATTTCATATAAATCTATAGGTTTCTCTCTATGTGGCCACGGCCTTACAATTTGTGTATTGCATCGAACAAACATTTAAAAGCAATCGTTCACTGTTTCCCCGCTATTCGTTAGCCTCGATTCGTAATTAAAATCGCTACTCCGTTTTTAAGTGAATTGACGCCCCCGATTTTGTTTCTTGAAAGCGGCTAACAACAAATTTGTATCGTTTACGTGAATGACTTTTATATTTTCATACGAGTACGCGCAACGACCGCAATTCCGGCTCGACCGACCAGCATTTGCACACCATTCGCTTCGTTACTAACGTATCTTAGAGTAGCCAGGGTTAAGAGCCAAAGAAATCTCTTTTAGATTAAGAGTATGTACATGAAAGCACCGTTTCAGCCGTATACCGCCTGTACATCTTAACGAACGAGTCTGACCAGCTGCTTTCGCGAAAAGGAAACGAACCGTTTGAATAAAATTTGTATATGTAATTAGTTTAGCGATATCTGACACAAATTTCATGTACCCAATACAAGGAGACGTTTTTTTGATATTGTAAATACTCTGAAATAAATAATCGTTTTTATTCAACATTCTCCCTACTATCTATCAATTTCTCTATTTCAACATTTATTATTTTATAAGGGAATTTTCGTGTTGAGGAGGAATTAAATAAATTCTATAACGAATAATTTCGCTAACGATTAAAATTTGTCAAAAAAGTTCTGACGTTCAACGAACTCTGCGAAAATTTTCTAACAAACGATATTTCAAGAAAATATAATCAACAGGAGTTTGGAAAAATAGTTACCTTGGTACAAATTTACAAACGGAACCGTGGAATGTATTTTGAGAAATTCCTTCGCAGTCAAAAGAACGGGACTGTGCGCATTTAACAAGTACTGTAACACTGTGCTCTCGGGGAAAAGTCGTGAAACCTCGTCGCTGATGTTACGTACAACATCCTTCATTGGTACTGCCTGTTCGAGAAATATTTTCGTGATTAATTGTCCACCGATATCGACTTTAGCTCGTCTAGGTTATGGAACAAAACATTGGCCACTCGAGGTCACTGAGTAGCTACCCCCCACCATACCACTGATCACTCCGCCCCCTCACCTGTTGCTCATTTGCCTCGTCTATTATACAGCTTCGTAAACCAGGAGGGACGAAGTTCTTCTCCGCCACAAGAATCCCCCTCTACCACTCAACCGATTCTCTCGCTATCAGGTTCCTCACTAATGCCCAGAAATCCTCGTCTCTCGTCTCAGCTCTACATAGTAGGTATAGAGGGGGGGAAATTCTTCTACGCTTGCGCGGAACAGAAAAGCAGAACCGATTCGCGATTTCTACATATTACAAGAGGGCCCTGCAACTATCTCACTACAGTTTTTCCCTCCTCCAAATATAATAAAAATAGAAGTTAGCAGCACACAAGGAATGACCTTGAGCAACCAACATTTTCTGTTCCAAATATAACGAGAACACTTACGAAATCGCGGACCGTCTTCGCGATATTATCGCATAACGTGTATACTTTTCTCAAACAATTGGACACCTGCGTCCGAATTTCACTTAGTTCGTACGATTCCAATTTGTCTATCAAAGTGGGTGGAATTGTGTATACGTAGGACCATTCCGAAAAGAATCTCTAATAGTTATCAACGTTTAAGGAAACAGAAAATATGCTAATCGGTACATATTATCTTTATAGTTCTTTCTTATTTTTACTGTAGTACTTACTTGATGAACATGATGATAAGATGGAAGAAATATTGCATTCTCGAGTTTGAAACTATCACGATGGTTATCATCCAGAGCTTTCAAATGTTTATAAATAATATCTTCCGACGCCTATGTTATTAGGACAGATTAATCAAATCGTAAAATCACTGCATCATTAACAGCTTCGATTATCATGATTTGTTTAAATGTAAGTTAAATGCTTTAATTGCAATTTTATTCACCTCTAATACGTGAATGTAGCATTGCGGATACACAAGCAACAATCCACTTATAAGAACATTGACGCAATCTGCTTTTAAATCGTTAATAACATATTCCATTACCTGTAAATTATATTCGTTAACAACTAATCTACAAATGGTACATCAATTTGAAGGTTAAACTAATTCCAATTTTGCCAAACTGTTAATACATCTATTATTTGCATTTATGATTTATACCTTTTCTAAGTCAGAATGTGAACCAACATACTCTCCGATGTATACGATACGTGTTATATACGTAACCTATGAAATAATACATACGTGCATTATATACATTAGGAAAAATAATTTCCTTGTATCGAGTCTTAAAATAAAATATTTGAACGAACTATTTCAAAAAGTATTCTCGGTGAACGTAGGTGGCGCCATAATACGCATTTCACGTTTAAGTAAAGACAACGTAAAAATACTTTTTTCATACAAATGGAAAGGCCACGATATGCAATTATAAATATAATCGAGCATCAAACATAAAGTAGCGAACATTAATGTAATAAAATTGTTCTCACCCTTCCGGCTACACGAAGATTTTTTCTCACCACGTCCAGCATACTCTTCCTGACAGGTTCAAACACACGTTTCATAATATATAACTTTTTACAGAAAGAACAGTTAGCTACCACTTACTTTACGAATATTTTGAAAGACTGACACAAATAAGAACTGTTTCAATCGATAAAATTCCCTCAATATTACAGATTTAACGGACACAACGATCAAGCCTGTGGGAATCAAGTAACGGAAGTGCGCAATGGTTGAGACAGTTACTACGTTAGTCGTGCAACTACGATTTAGCGACTAATCCAATCTAAAATAATTTTGTTAGAAAATTACATTATTATTATTAAATAATAGATCTCTCGATAGAGTTCGAGTACACACTATACGGTTATAATTCAAATTATTAAGTCTGAAATAAAAATTTTAAAGTTTTAATTAAAAATCTTTTAATTTTGAATTTGACTTGCGTAGTACAAGATGTTCCTTGTTAAGATTTCGGTTTGCGTTCAAAAGGAAGCGTTCTTTTCTACTTTGGATCGCCATTGCGTAAGTAAATGTTATAAATGTACTTTCGAACATAAATCATTTATTCAAATTGGATACAAAGGTATCTACAACAATAAAAATAAATATACGTACAATTACAAAGGGAAATTTAAAATGATAAGCGTCTGAATTAGGTTTACACATAATTATGTACAAAATACTGATATTGCGCTTAAAATAACTGCGTAAAATTATAATTACAATGATTTCATTAACTATTGTTATACATTGCAATCATTTAACAATAGTAAGTACATATCAGGGAAATTTTATTCTTCATAGATTTTTTCTATGAAATTCAATAATGTATAATAAAAATAATACTGTTAAATGGCATAAAAATAGTACCTGACATAAATCTGCTTAAGTTCTTGTTTTTTTATCACTCGTAATTACTAAATGCAATAAAAACCTTTTAAAAACATAATAATAATTATGTTAATTGTAGTTATTTTTTTGTCTTGGAACACTCTAAAATGGGGGGTGGTGGTGGAGTTGCTTCGCTAGGATTTCCCAACCACACAGATTTACTGAAACGACCCTTTGTAACGGGTGCTTGCCATTTATTGATACACATAACTGCAACCGTAGGCTTCTCTGCAGTTACTGTTGCTATAGTTGCACTTCTGAAAATAAAATGAAAACTATTTAGACGATCAAAGAAATAAATTATATGGGCATCCTAATTGTGAGATAACTTACTTAGCATTTTGAGGTAGGAAAAGAATAAAGAGGTGTATTATAATATAAATACAGCATTTATTAATTAGAAAACGTAGTACAAATTGACTGAGAAATGTTTTCTGTAAAATAGTTTCTAAAGTATGTATCAGACAATATATCCAAGTGTGCGTATATGATAATTCAATATTTACAATTATTTTAACGCTCAAAAAAAAAACTACCTAGTCAATTAGTATACCTGCAATTCGCAATTTAATAAATTTCACATATTACAAAGTATAAAATATTTTCGATTAATAATTTTTCCAGCAGTCTCCCTTTTTAAATTTACATTCTAAAATGACCAGTACTCTTTTAGGAAACAGTAAATTTATCGTTTTGCCTAAATCGTTAAACAACTATCGATTAACACAAGATTTATTATAAAAAAATTCTAAGAAAACATACATGTTGTACCTATCTTATTTTACAAAAAATACAAATTACTAAAATAATAGTAGAGTGCGTTACTACAAACTTATAATTGTTGTAAATCGGTTTAGTGCTAGCAAAAACTAAAAACAGAATTTTATTAGAAAATAAGAGTAATCAATGCCTTTATTGTATAAATATAAATTCAATAGTTTTCATACAAACAGTACACAGTTGTATGAAATAACAAAGAGTACAAAGCCATTAATTGTGGTAAAAACTTAAACCACTTTTTCTAATGCCAAGGCACTTGATTTGGATGGCTAATGGAACCCAATTTGTAGTACCTTGTTGTGGAGGGTGTTTGTTGTGTTCCTGTAGAATGGTTGGGTGGTGTTGCTGCTGTAGGAGTTTCGGCACTTTGAGCAGAAGTGCCATCTCCTTTCAAAACAGCAACACACTTCCAATTATTAATATAATTATCTTTCCATAATCGAACACAACCGTCATCTCCCGAACTTGCTAAAATAGTTCCCATAATATTCCAACATACGCGCCATACCGTAAAGTCGTGATCAGAAAATTGTGCTGCTACAGTAATTTCAAAACGTGCCGAACCACTTTGTACACTGTCCCTATACGAATGGTAACAATGTCTTGTATTTAGTTACTTGTTCAACATTCGTACAAGTTTACGAAATTATGACTCATACTTACAACAATATAGGTTTCAACGTAATTATTCGTACATCTTTTGTTGCAATAGCCAATGTATGAAAACTTCTACCTAAATTTGGAGAGAATGCAATATCATGGACAGGGTCTTGAATTTGCAATGCTTCTGTTTTTGCCCATCTTCTACTACTTTCTGAATATTCGTAAATAAAAACTTTTCCTCCGGTAGATGGGTTTGAATCATCACTTGCAACAGCTAGCATTGGTGGATGTAGCCTATTGTACATGATAAATAATGAAACACTGAATAATTTTAAAACATAAATGAAATATGTTTTAATGGGACATTGTTATTTCTTTACCTTGAAAGAGAAGGATTCCATGAGAGACAACTACATTGTAGCTTACAACTAATATCATGTTGCAGAGTCCATTGACTCAAATTCATAACATCAGGAGCTTCGTATATTCTTATCACCCCATCTTCGCTACATGTGGCTAACAAAAGGCCTAGTGTTTTAGGTGCAAATTTTACATCTGTAACAGACTTTCGGGAATCTACCAAATTTGTCCTCCTAAGCCAATGTCTCATACCACGTTCTCCAGGACCCGATCCTTCCCCAACTGTTAATACCATGCATAGCTATCAAATAACTAATCACAGTGTAGGAAAAAAATGTAATAACCGATTCTAATCTTACCTATCTCTTCCCACACAGCCGCAGTCCTATCAAAAGAACATGTTGCAAGAACCTGACCAAATTCAGGATGGGCCCAAGTAACTTTCCATACAGAACCGCTATGGGCTTTCCAAGATGCAGTTAAATGCCAATTTCCATGCTCATCTTCATCCCAGACCTACATAAATTTGGTAAGCTTCACATATGACCATGACAATAAATTTTGATAATACAGCTGCACAAGCATTGACTACAAATTAGTTACTTTTACAAATTGATCACTGGAACATGTTGCCATTCGCTGTCCATAAAAATCGTATGCGATGTCGTGAATCAAATCCTTGTGCTCGGCGTTAATGCTATGTGCTTCAAACATCCTCACCGTTTGTTTGAATACTACTGCACAAAACAATAAAAAATAGTTTGTATAAAAATAATATCCTTTTAATTTTTACAAAAGTAAAATTCTCATAAACTTCCACCAACGATTTCGAGCGTGTTAAAAATAGTATACAGGTTAGAAAATAACACTGGAATAAATTTTAAAATAAAATCGAACACGTGTAAAAATATTGAGAAATTTTAATATACGTAGAACAATATACAAACCAAACGTCACAGATCAGAATCGCTTATTTTCTTTAATATCCACTTCAAATTTTTATATCGTTGAAAAGGAGGGAAAACGCAATGCAACTAATCCTACTATCATCATTTACAGTTACTTTGATTGTAGATATACGATATTTAATAAAAATCTTAAAATAAAGTCACTAATACTATACTAATAGAACTAAACATTTTTTTGTTCTTTAAATTTTGAATTTCAAGTACGTTATTCGAATGTATTTTAATAAACAACATGTGACATAGATTCGTGCCGCACGAGGGAAAACAATGTAATTCAATTCATATCTTCAAATGAATAATTATTGAATTACCGAATGGGAGTTTAATAAAACTTTACCAAGTCTATAAAATTTCATATTGGGTTAATATTACAGAAACTATATTTTCTATAGAGGATTAAGTATTCAGTATTTTACACATGCTTTAGGATTTAAATAAACCAGCAGAAAATAATAGTTTGATAAAAATTCTATTCATCAAGTACTTTACCAAATGATTATTTATTTGTAGACAATGTATTTAATACAAGACTATACATGTTACAATTAACACTAGACAGTAATATAAATAATTATATACCCTTTACATAAGTGACATTGAATGTATGCAATTGGTTTTAAGATACAATGCTCAGTTTATGTAATGCCAACTTCTTATCATTAAGGATAAAGAATATTAAAAAGTATAAAAGTACTAGGTTATAGAAAAACATCTTTGTTTACAACAGATCATGAAATAAATTCATAACTTATTTTTAACTATTATGTTCTAAATATTGTACATCATTTTTTCATTATTAGTATTTTAAAAAAATACTGGTAGTTTTCACAAACTATCATAAACATGCATTATTTATAATTGTGACAATTACTTTGTGATGAAATCGATGAATGTTAAATTAACAATTCTATAAGATTATGTTAATGGTTCAATTAAACAATTAAAATTTTTTTTATCAATTATTTACTATTTTAATTAAGCATGTGGCAGAATGATTATGTATGTTTAAAAAATTATTTCGTAGAACTTTCATTTTCAATGAGCTATTTAGATTAGTCATCTTACAAAATATCTAAATTGCATAATTACACTTAAAATAAAAAAAATTGATTTCTCAAAATTAACTTAACTTACCATTTTTCAATAACAGCTGCTTTAATATTTTAATTTTATTCATAAATTTAAAAAATATTTGGAAAGTGAATTGATATACCTTGAATTAAAATTCGACTGAATATTATGATTTTTTCCCCATTGATCGTTAGTAATTATTCGTATGACAAAATAAACAAGTATAATTTAAAAAATATTATATAATTAATCATCTTTATCGATAGCTTCGAGTCTTTCAAGTAGTGGAGGGTGGGTGTGATGCCAACCAGAATATAGTTTGTCATAAAGAGGGTAACAAAGATTATCTTTTTGTAATTTAATCAATGCTGTTTTTAATGATTTTCCGTGTCCCTGAATTCTAGCAAATTTATCTGCTTCAAATTCAAATTTTCTTCCTTGTAATACCGATATAAACTTTATTATCTAAAAAAGAAACGTTAAAGGTAGTTTAAAGTTTTGTACATGGAAAAGATGTGGTCCGTCGCACGTCGCACGTGTCAATGACCTGAACTTACCGTATTTACAGGTATTAAAATATACGTGGTAATAATAATGAGTCCTATTAATGTAGGTTGTGAGTCATAAAAGCCAAAGGCTTCATATATAGGCTTACAATCAAGAAGCTTTGCAAATAAAAGGATATTTATCAGAAAGCTGACCTGTGAAAATATAAGATTAGGGATTTTGAAAAAAAATAAAACAACGAAATCTAACAGTATAAATCGAGCGTCACAACCGACGGCTCAGTAGCGACGCTTGACTATCACGTTTAATCTTGAAACTTGGCTATCACCCAAACGCGTAGTTTTTGCGATATTTCTCGATATGTAAATGTAAGAAGTTCTAATTTCGAATATATTAACGTGGCATTACAATTTCAAAGCTTATGTATCGTGGAAAAAATTAAAAACAAAGTAAATACCTGAACAAGTACAAATCCTTTCAGTGTATGATAATATTTCCAATGTCCTAATTCATGTGTCAATACTGCCAATACTTCATCCGTTTCACATCCTTTCAATTCTGTTTCACCTTCTGCTGGTTTATAGTACTCTTTCACCAGAGTGTCAAAAAGGACAATTCTCTTATATTTATGAAACCCGTATAAGTATGCATTACTGTGTGAAGACCGTTTTGATCCTTCAACAATAAATAGTTTATAAAGTGGAAAATTGAAAGATGCTGCTAGTGCCTCAATTTTTGTTTTCAATTCCCCGTCTGGGAGTGGTGTATATTTATCAAACAGAGGTGCAATGAATTCTGGATACAAGATCATCATGATAATAGTAACAAAGATTACAAAAATCCAAAGATAAAGGAAGAAGTAATCTCCTCCATTCTTTATAATCCATATCATAGCACAAAGAAGAGGTACTGTAGTCACTTGTGCAACAACAAATTTAAGAAGTTGGTCTTTGACAAAAAACAATGGTGTCTGAAATTAATATGTGGGTTTTGATGTAACAGACACAATTGATAATAATACAAAAATGTTCAATATAATGTTTACAAAAATTGTAGGAAACTAAGAAGTTTTACTACAATTTTGAAAATAAAATTTTAGCTTCCTTACCTCTTTATTGAATCCATGTTTTTGTTCCACAACAAATGTATCATAGATCTTCAGTGGTAGATCGGTTATATCATAAATAGCATTTATAATGAATATACAAATAGCACCCACAAGAATTTCGTTCTCAGGGTTGAGATTAAAGTACTTTGTTAAATCAATGCTCCAATACCAGAAACGATGAAAACATGAAGTTAGTAGAATAACCTATAAATATTTAAAATTATGACTACACCATAACAAAATCACTGTGCTATGATATTGCAATTTTATTATTTAAATTGCTAAAACAAATTCAAATTCCATACCATAGTGAAAACTTTAGAATAAATGTCCTTAAAATTGTTGAAGTTCAATCTATCTAAATCATAGTTGCGTGCTTTATCATAAATATCCTTTGTCATTATAACTTTCACAGAGGATGGTAAATCGACCAAACGCATCATCAAAGCCCGCTGAAAACATAATGCAAAAGATTTAACAAATCCAACGATGTACGTGTAGGAAAATTTCAAGATTACGATCAACTTACTTGACGAAGGCACAAATAAAATTTCCACGAGAAAAGTAGCCATATTACTGACAAAATTCCAATAAGTAAGTTTTCCTGAATGAATTGTACAAAACTAGACATAATATTTATATTTATTAAATACAAAGATCTTAATTGTGCGGCACTACAACGTGTACGCTGTTACCAGACGGGCCTGGTCTGACTTTTTCACGCAAGCGTATCGAAAACGGTGCTCAGTGAGGTACCTTGAATCGAATGAAAATGGGTGTCGTACGGGGCCCTAATTCAATTTCTAGAAAATTAAATAAAGGAGAAAATGGCTACCTATTTCGACCAAAGGGTATTTTTTGATAACTGTAGAAATAATTGTTAAAAAAAAGAAATGTAGGGGAAAAGATAGAGTAAAGTTATAGAAGTAGTGAGGCGCGGGGATGAAGAAAACTGCCTGATTTACAAAATCTCTTTTTTTATTGATGCTTCGACAACATGGGCTGAGACACACACATTTGCTCATATGAATTTATACCACTGCGTGTTCCAACATATACATACACAACTCGTTAAATTATTGCATCGCGCGGCACTAGATTCAAGAAATACATTAATTTAGAATCGTGTATCTTAGGTGTTGAGATCAATGAAAACATATCGGTCGAGAGAATCTCGTTACATGTAAGCTCTTTATAATTTTATAGATTTATTCGACGGTATGGGTGACGACGCAATAGAATTTGATTATAACGATTGCTTGATTTGTAAAAGAAACGATCGAAACTGAAGAAAACAAAATTTTTCCCGAAAGTAATTAGCTATGGAGAAGTAGTCGTGTCTGGAGAAACTTTTGAAACATTTCGTCGCTTTAATCAGAAACGTAATGTATATAATATGTGATTAGAAGCTGTTACGTAACAGCAGAAGATTATTCGAAAGAAAGTCAACTTAAGTATACGCAAGCGTTTCGGTGGCACGATTCTAATAAATAATTTCCGGTGCGCAGTCGCGTGATATCTGCAGATCCGATAAGCTCCTTCGCGCGATTAATCATTGAACGATCTACACGAATAATAATCATTCGAGATTAGAGCGAGGGAGAGCCGTTCGCGTTTCCCTCCAACGCCAAATCGTCTCGTTTATGATGTGTGCTCGTACTTTTGCAGCATCGAAATATGAAAAAAATCATTTTTCGATCATTCTATATGCATACATACATGCATACACACACTTACATATATGTATATACATATATATTCGAGGAGACTCACATGGGTCGCAAGAATAGGTTGACAGGATAGACTCTTCTAATAGACTTTGCAGACGGACATAATAGAAATATTTAATATATAGCATCATATATTAATATAATATTCAGTAATAATATAATATCTATTATATATTAATATGTATGATATTTTTTTTTTTTTTCGTTTTCAATATAGCGTTTCTTTTTTTCTCGCTTTTGTCCGAGGTTGTGATATCCAGCGATTAAAATTTCTTTTTTCTTCGTTTTCGTATTCGAATGGGGTACGGTGTGAGTACGATTCGCTTCAGCCTTATTTGAATTACATTAATCGTCGTGGAGTATCAGGCAAGTTGTACGACTTATGCGTGACCGACAAACGTTTTGGTCGTTTTGCAACGTATGCGTTGATTGTAGAAATAATTATTTGCTTTCCTTCAAAACTGGTCGAGAAACGTGCCAAGCGAGGCAGGCGCAACAATTTTTCATGTTCGCGTGTCTGCCGTCCGGTTACATATCCGCCCGAGAAACTAAACGCGGAAAAGGCAGAAGTGACTTTATCGCTAAGCAGCTAAGCAAAAGCAACGAATATTACGCGAAACGTGTTTCTAGGTTACCTTGAATCGGAGGGAAATTAACGGGAAGCCGAAACGTGAGATTATTTGAATCGGAAAGATCTAGTTACGTATCGATCGTAACGCGTTATTTGCTCGTAGAGGGATCGAAATTAATCGTCGACAATTTGGGGTTACTGTTTGCTGCTACGCGCTGACGGCAAAAATTGTTCAGGAACCTTATATTCGGCACAAATAGGCGATGGGAAATGCAACGAATGAAACACGACATCGAAACGGAACGAGTAAAGTACATAACTCTATACGCGAATGAGAAGCCCGCCTATAATCGGATCGAACTCAATTGGCCGTTCAATAATTCACGGTTAACTTCCCAATGACTTTCATCGAGTGATTTAATTAATTTTGCGTTGATCAAAGTGTAAAGAAAATTTTTGTTCATCAATTTTAGAGAATATGATGGAGGTGATCTTGGCCTTAGACAGTCAGGTAATTTCGATCAGACTATAGCGCGACGAAATTTTCGGTGTAAACCAGGGCTTGAAAACTGTTGTTTGGATTGTTGAAACCGGTTGCGAAGAGATTTTATTTTAACCTAAATTTTGGATCATATCGGTTTAAATTAAAGTTATTGTATTAGCTCCCATATAGGCATACGATCTCAGGACTGTTGTGTAACGGTTTGAAACTATTTTCGGAGCCATTTCAGGGCCTGGTTTAAACGTCTCGCAGTTTGTAACGCCGCGCAAAAGAAAGTGCATAAGAAGTCTGTGCCAGAAATAATCTTCACCTAAATTGTACATGTATGCAAGCATTGAGAGTCGCACGGAGGTTGATACACACGCTGCGAAGAATTGTGCATAGTAACAGTACGAAATAGGAAGAGTGCCTTTTGAGACAGGCTAAAATATCTGCCTCGGATACGTCTTTACATCGCTAGACTTCACGTGTAATCGTTTACATTATATATTGTACTTCCTACGTAACTACCATTCATCTTTGATATTTTCATTATATAATTTCAAGAAAATAACATTCGTACAAAATTGACTACAGCCGATTGCTTTTTATGATGTGTTCGGGTTCGATCGTCCGTTCAAATCATTCTCGTACAACGGAGAAACTAAAGTTGTATATCTTAATTTCCTATTCGTTAATCCACTTCTCTTCTTCCGCTTACCTCTCGTCCTCGTTACGATATGACGTGTATACGTATTGACCTGGCTGATTGATTCCGACCGGCTTCTTTTAATCCTTCCGGCACAACCGATCCGCGAACCTTTCTGTACTTCGACGCAAAGCGTTCCATGTTTCCTTTATTCACGAATTTAGAAGTCAGAGCTTCGCAGCTCTATCAGTCCATTCGTCAGTCGCATCGTTAACGACTGCTCCTTTGTCATATCCTTGGATGTATCGGTGAAACGTCTCACTACGATTTTATTCATGAAATTTCGCATAAAATCAAACGCACGAAGGACTATATTTTGGACGTCTTCGTCCGTCGACAGTTTTATGTTTGAATCGAAAACCTGAGGACGTTGTGATTATTTTCCATCGATCCATTATTAGTAATTCCACCGTATCGTTTGTCACAAACATAAAACTGTATATTCCCTACCGAGAAATGAACGATGGCACACCTGTGCTACGATACAGTAGTTGGACGTTAACGATACTATTCGAGGATTGCATTCGTGGCTCGCTTGCTAAAATAGCGTTGAAACAATATAGCGAATTCTGACGTTATATTTTTCCCCCCAATTAGTTGTCTCTTTCCATATGTAATAGTAGTCCGAATATCCGTCGCGCCGGAGGGGTTAACACGTGTGTCAGATCCGTTTGTTCAGGACCGCTTGAAAAAGCCCTACCAAGTTAAGAAAATATGCAGGGATATCTCCGTAATTAAGTCGCTAGTTTTTATACAGATATTTAACCGTTACGAACGTGCGGCTCGTGCTTCATAAGCGGAAACATTTTTCGAGGAGCGTGCACGCTGCCTGATTGCAGGAAGTACTTACGTTACGAAGCATAGTTGTAATTTCGTAAGTCCTCTTCTCCCTGTGTGTCTATCCGATTGGACGCAAAAAGCAACGAGAATTTATAAAAAATCCGTACATAGAGAGAGAATGCTCTTATCTTCCATCGGTAGCCACGATTTCAGGGCTTGGAAACTGTTATCGTGTCAGTTTCGGTTCCAGAAACAGCTACGAAGAACTTTTACTCCGAACAACTGTTACAAAGGAACCTTCTTTTTTTTTTCAACGGTCGATTTTAGGTTCCTCGCGGCTCAGAATAGAAGTTGTTCGCGATAGTTTCGACCAGAACTTTTATACAGTTATTTTCGGAAGCTTTCCAAGCCCCGGCCACGATCCTCGCCGTTATCTTTACTCGTTGAAAAATAATCCTCGTCCGTCTGCACAGGAAACGGACGTGCACGCGCGCTAACTAACGGAGAACACGCGTTTACTCGTCGAGCAAAAAAGATACTTTCTCCACGTAGAGTGGCTTCGTTCGTCGCGGGGGATTCCAACTACTTTCGCATCGGTGACGATGTCAATTGCTTTTGGTCCTTCTTGTACCTTTCGTAATTGATTTAATTTCTCTGCTCGATTCTATTCCTCTCTATCCGAGCGTTCGCGGGCTCGTCCGCGGGAAACGATAACTAGAGAGCACGTGCAGCCGTATGTACAATACACGTAGCTCGACGCGGTCATTGAAAGAACCACCGAAAATAAGAAGTAACTTTTTGGACCAGTGTTTCCCAAACTTTGCCCTCCCACGAGCCTCGTTAAGCATTTCTTCGATACGCTTCGAAACTGTTTTGAAAGAACTAAAGATCTTTTTCCTAATTTAAACAATTTCAGTTGCTTCGACACTTAAGCTTCCAAGTCTCTTTTTTGATTTTGTATGAAACTCTTTAACGTTTTAATTGTTAATAAAGTAACTTATATTCTATATTTAATTTACAATAAATTTAGAAATCCGTAGAGGTCCGCGGACGACAGTTTGAGAAACACTGTGTTAGACTGTGAATAGTCTAAAAGTGTCGCCGAATGCATGGACGTATTTAATGCGGCTCGATCGGTTTCAAGCGCTTTCGATCATTTTCTTTTCCGCGTGAGATCGAATGCGACAATGCCCCGACACAATCGTAGGTTTCCGGGTCCGGTCGGAGGGCGTAATAAAAATTGACGCGGAGGGGTTGTGTGCACTTTTTCTACTTTAATTTTATTAGGCCGAGGGCGGTCTTCTGGACGCGCCCCGTCGAGTTCTTAATTCGGCCGGAGACAGTCGTGACTGACTAGAGAGAACCGTTCCTCGCGTGACAACTTCCGTCCAACCCCTTAGGAACTCAGAACGGAATACCGCGTTCGATTCACAAAATAATCGTATTGGATTCGTGAAACGCGAACGAAATGCAATAATCGAGAACAAGCGGAACGTGTTCGGTCTTTCTCTGTCTTTTTTTTCTATCTTTTCTTCTCATTACTCTCGATGTCGTCGATCGAGCCTTCGATCGCGAAGGTTACAGACAGGAAGTTGCCGCAGAACGGAAATACGTCGCGGAGGCGATCGATAGAGATCTCCAAATACCGCGATTACCTTTCGTTAATATTTACAGTAAGCTGTCCACTAATTCAACCGTCGACGACCGTAGTCCTCGTTATCTTTTTATCATTTTCTGTCTTTATTTATTTTTTTTTTTGTCTCTTTTTTTTCTCTTTACTTTTTAATTTATTCTCTTCCCGGGGAGAGTTTCGTCGTTGATGAGTCTGTACAAAAAGTTGATGAACCGTGTGTGATCGGTGTATAAATCGCGCGCCGACACCGTGACAAAGCGTTCGAGGCGGCCGTTCCCATCTTGAACGCTGCATCGTCGTTGCCCTGGCTTCGCCAGCAATTCATCGCGATGTATTTTCATATCCTAGCTTGGAACCGCGTGGCCGCGGACCCAACCACCTAATGTCGGACGGCACGGATGTTTTTCAGGGGATGCACGAGTGCGTGTTGGTGGCCTGTGCCGGCGACGACAACGCCACGGAGAAGTCCGAGTCCAGAACCAGGTCGCTGATGCAACCGACGATGCCCTTCGCGTATCTGCCTCCTGTTGTCCTCACGATGTCCGGTGCACCGCCTGCGAGGACACACAACGCACGACAAATAATCACAGTCTTCGAAAAGGTGGGCAAGGTATCGAGATCAAGCGGTCCAGACAAGGTAGGAAAATGTTAAAAATGTCTCGTTAAGACATTCATTTTTGTAAGCCTTAAGAATTTACAAGTACAGTAATGATTTTTAAAATGCACATTTCGTACAACGTGAAATTCGATACCAGATAGTGCACGAAGGTTAGAAGTGTTCAATTTACGAATCATCACTGTAATTAGACGATGTTTACAATTGCTCGGCGAAATCACAGGATGAACCAGTACCTTTCTACTTGTCAAATGATATTTCATTTTCGAGCATTGGGTTGCAAAATGGGGAGCAGTTCAGTTGAATTTCAAATGTGTAAATCTCCGAGATTTTTGCAATACGTCGAGCACTTTCTCGAGCAGTTGTATAAGTTACAGTTACCAGAAGTTCTTCGTAATGTTGGTAATAACTCAAAGACTGTAGTTAATCTACACAACAGTAGTTTAACTCCGACGCAGAAATACGGTCTTGCAAAAGTTAAAAGCGTCACGAATTATGACATCCCGAGTGGGTATTACTGACAACTTTTTGGTGGAAACTACTATCGCGCGAGTATTCTTGGTTTACGAACTCATCAGTTCTTGTCTTGACGTTGATAAAAAATTCAGATACAGTAACTTTCGTTCTATTTCGATTCAAAGTTTCATTCTTGTTGGAAAGCCCGCGATGCGTGGGAGGTTTACATCGATTTGACGATCGTATCGGATTTCATTAAGCGTTTTACTCACCAACGTAAAGACCCGTGTCGGTGTTCAACTGTCTCAACTGTCCTGGCGACGACGCCGAGACCCCGGTACCGCTGTCGACGACCAACGACGCCCACTGTTCGTTCCTAAAGATATATCGGCGTCAACTTCGGAACATCGGAACTCGATTAAGAACTGTTCATCGAATTAAAACTTTCCGATACGGTTACGAGTCGGAACTTTGCAACGTAGTTACCTAACTGCCCGAACGCGGTGCCATAGATCATCGTCCAGTCTCGTTAAATTGTACCGTAGGACCGCTTCGCCGGAGCCCAAGTTATAAGCTAAGGTCAGGTAACCACGGTCCAAGCCCAGAGCAAGAAAATCGTCGTTCTTGTCCCTTTGTTCTTGCGGGTCCGCCTGTCGTCCGCTCCAAAGCAGCAAACCGCTACTGCTACTCGCTCTGAATCTCATGTTTATGTCCACCCTGTAGCTTATTATCCTGCGGAACATTGTTTTAGCGAAAGGTTATTGAAACGGTTATTAGCAACGAAGTAATTTGTAGAAGCCTATTTCAAGTTCTTTCACCAACCTTTTCATCGTGTCCGCGTCGTTGTAGTGAAGGTAGCTCTCGCTCCCGGAGAAGCTGGGCACGGATCTCTCGTATCGCGTCCCAACGTTTGATTTCGCTGGCGAGGCACCGAGGATCGTATTGTCGTCCGGTGCTGGACACGGATGCGGCATACCAGGTCGACAGCGACACGTGAATCGGTCTCGAAGCGGACGACATTCCGCGTCTCCGCAAGGCCTCGCCTCGCACGCGTGTCCGCAATTCCCCACGTTCACGCCGCCGAGAGCCTCGGCGAGAATTCCAATCTGCACACAGAAAACCAATACGTTTCACAATTCCCTGCAACGATTCGTAATCGTGACCCGTTCGACGTACTACTTAGAATTACTGGACAAGTTGCTAAGACAGTACATGTTTTGCAAATCAAATCCGTCCTTTTGAAGTATTGACTTAAAGTTAGATAACTCATATTAATGTAACTGCAACGAGTGTCAGAAAATCTATCGTTAAATGAGCAGTTATATTTCTGTATCGTGTACGCTAAACTTTGGAACATTTTAGCGGTTTTGATTTTATTTCTATTAGGAAAGGGTGAATTTGGCTCGCGAAAGGGCTGAAAACGATTAGTCCTACGGCGGGATTACGGGCGCGCAATTCCCGAGGCGCGACCGTGCGTAAGTTTTCAGAAGGGCTCTACGGCATTACGTTGGATTTAATGCTCGCCGGTGTATTCGTGAATTTATAAGTAGACAATAGTTCTTCAGCGACAAAAGGGAAATCCAAGTCGGTGCACTTCGGTGCAATAAAAGCGCAACCTGCAGCCCCCGTGGCCCTCGAAGGGGATTTTAAAGAGTTAAAGTGCACAATGCGTGCATTCATACGGTCTAATGCCATTATAAATATTTATGCTCGCCAGTCCCGTAAGATAATTTCCTCCGAATGGAACCATCCGGACCGTTAATAAGTATTTTTCCCTCTCGGCGGAAACCTTTCAAGGATTCAGATTGTTGTTTGGAGGAAAGATAAATCGCATATTTTTGGGGAAACAAAACGATCAATTTAATAGGATCAGTTGCCCTAATATAAAGCAATTATTGCAATATTGCTATTGGCGATGTATTCTCATTTGTTGAAACTAGAGTGCATTTGTCTGAATTCCAAAGCAATGTTCGTAAAAGAATATTGAAGAAAATATCGCAGTCTGAGTTTTTGCAAGGTGATCTTCGACCTAATATTATACATAATTATCAGTCAAAAGAGCATAAAATACTTAAGCTTTTATCAAAGTCCTCCAAGCAAGTGGAACATCTGTATAAAAAAAAAGTATTCCATATTAGGGCAACTGACCTTAACTGGAACTTTAATAAACGCTCCAAAATTGATTCCAGCCAGGAATTTTCCAATCATTAAATCATAAATTATAATTGTCAGATACAAGCGTGGCTATCGAGTTGTTATGTTTAGTTTTTCCTGTTTGTCCAATTATTGAGACACCGCGAGAATATATTGGACGAATAATATTTCGATAAATAAATTACGTACCTCGCGACGATTCAGAATGACGGTCTGAATGCAGCCTACGAAGCTGGCGGTCGTCTTCATCTTGGGCGAGTACATGTCCGTGGACAGTGCGCCGCCCAGGTAAAGGTTCAGCGGCAGAGATAGTTGCGTGAAGGCGCCGGGCGCCAGGATTTCCTGCGGAGGATCGTCCTCCACCTCGAGTGACGCCAAACGTCCGGTTCTCGAAACTCGCACGTCGACCCAATCGCCGAGACGCACTGGTTTCTCGCTTCTGAAACATCGATCGTCGCGTCAGGTTTCTACCACAGACGAGATATACGAGTAGACCTTGCCCCATTACTAAATAGTCACCCAGTGGTAAATTCGAATGATTCTGGACCGTTGAGGATTGATAACACCCGAATTCGTGGATTCTCTGATAGGTAACGTTTCGAGGTAACAACGAAACGTAGTGTTTAGCGTGTGGAAGAATCGCGTAGTCGAAGAGTGTTCGTGGTCCGATTGCTTAGGGTCGCAGAAGAAGCGTGACGTTTCCAAACCGGCCTTAATAAAACCTCGTGGCGAGGGTCGCGAGAATCTATAGCGGGGGAAAAAACTAGGCAGAATGAAGTCCCGCCGCCGTGATTCCGGTCAAACATCGTGAATGCGAATGAAGTTTGCTCATGGATAATATTTCGCTGAGGCGGCCACGTTCGGGGATCGCGTAGGGTGAGAGAGTCGTCTATTGCAGTGATTCTCAACGGAATACATTGGAAGGACACATACGTTTCTATAAGAACGCTATTTTAAATAAAAAATGCCAATAGTATTGCAATTTAACGGAAGAGTGACTTTATATAATGGTCTTCTAACTTCTTCGGATTTACAGTCTAAACTGTGCTTTTATTTCGTTTAAATTCACTGTACGAGTGTTTTACGTACTTTCATTCAACTGCTTTTGAAACTTTCTCAAAACCTAAAAGCGTGTTAAAATTAACAATATAAATGCTGCAGCGCGATGGAAGCGAGGATTTATAATGTTAATTTCAGTCCTGTTAGCACGGAACGAAGCGTAAACGATTTAAACAGAGTAGAGGAGTCGAAAATGGAGGTTTGCCAGAAAATGTAGAACTTACGAATATTTAACGGGGGAAGCGTGAGGAGCGAAAGAGAAGATTTGCAACGTTTTTCTACATTACTGTCGCGAGGAAGTATAACGAATATCCTATCCTTGACTTCACCATAAATTTCGTCTCATAATTCTAGTTCTTCATACTAAATCTTACTAACAGTATAGTTAGAAGTTGAAAACTGTGCAATCTAGAGTAAATAAAAGCATCTCTGACACTTAAAAAGTGTTTTCATACAGAGATGAAAACGCGAATCAAACAACGCATCGACCCGACGAAATCCAGTATAAACGATTCGGTGTTATCGATCATAGCGTAATTAAATTAACGTACTACAACCGAGGGTTGCTGGTGTTTTTTTCTTTTAACATCACCTGCGCGAAAACACGGTTCTTCCGGCGGTCGGAAAATATTTCGCGTTCATTAATCACGATTCGCTTGACGGTTAACCGGAGTGTGTTATTACTTTCGCGGAAATCAAACATTGTTCTGTTTTACATACAAAGGCAAACGAGCGGTGTTTACACTGGCTTTATGAAACTCTTCGATAAACACCCTTTTTATCCAGTCGGATCTTTCGGGGCTATGTTCGTCGCTTCGACGAAATAATATCCGTGGGCAAACTTCGTTCGCATTCGTCATGTTGAACGACGAACCGGCTCCGTCATTATTCCCCCCTCCATACGATTCCATAATCTCCAAAATCCCTCTCGACCTTTCGATATTAACTCGCCACAGAGTATGTTTTGAATTGTTCAGAAAATAGCGTTTCAAACAAACTATACCAGTCAAGCTCTCGACGATTGTTATTTGCTTATATTAACTAGTTAAAACAAATAATATCGTGTAAATAACATCTGTGCTTACGAACACTTGAAACAAGTAGAAATAGCCAGTGATGATCAGACTCGATGAATTATCTTGAGAGGAGAAACTTTAGAGATAATTGAATTTGAATATTTATTTACTTGTACTGTTCTCCGTGAAAATATTAGTCTACATTTTAGGTCTTATATTTTCACGTAGAATCACCTTCTTTCAGAGTGAGAAGGCAAGATTTAGCTGTTCTACCAGGAAATAATTAAGCAACGTTTCAAGTTCCCTTACCCGTTGAATGTTTCTTTTTTTCGAGAGCTCATCGACTGTAATTTGAGAGACACTGTCGTAGACCAACCCTGTGCCTTGGAGGGCGCACGTACTGATTTTCCATCATGAATATTCAGAGGCTTAATTCGCGATGAGGCCGATCGACGTCGATACATCGTTACCAGCAGATAGGACGGATTAAACGATCCGGTCGGTTCTTTCAACACCGACGTCGAGCTTCGTTAATCGATCGCATCTCGCGTAAACTCGTTATACCGCGTTACAAGCGACGTAATCAATGCAACGCGTATCCGGACGGTCTTTTCTAAAAGTCGTTTTTCCTTCGATTTTTTCGCTCCGTCGCGTTCCGATTGTCCTCCGCCGTCGCGAACGTCCCGTAAAATCAACTGCAAGTCCCTTCCACGCTTATTTCGAAAAACATCCCCGTCGAAGTCTCCTATCGAAGATAATTTATTCCATTTTTCTCGTTTCTGTGTTGCAATTCTTTTTATCGTCGCGAAACAATGTAAAACCGTTCGTTTAAACAATAAACGGTAAGCGCAACCGGAACAGCAACTTTTCCACGCGACGACGAGGGCTTCGAATCCCCTCGAACACTTCCACGCGAAATGGTTAAAAACACAAACTAAACTTGCGCCCACGAAGAGAAATAAAGGGTGAATTTACTTTCTCGGAAAGCTTGCTTAACCACAGACGCGTTGAAGCCGAATACGGAAACTTTCGTACCAATTAAAATACACTTCCCCGTCTAATCAAGCGCAAACGAGGCGGCCATAGCCGGTCCCGACGACCTGTTTCCCTTTTTTTTTTTTTCACCCCAGTTGCCCTATGCACGCTCCCAATAAAATTTCAATATCCGTTCGCGGCCCTTATCCGTTCACCGGGAGGCCGGCATGTAAACGACTCAATTAGAGGCAGGACCTGGCCCGAAAGGAGTAACGAGGAAATTGAAAGGAACAGGTCGGAAAGGGGCCGTCCTGGACGTCGAACACGGTTCGAGTATCGAGGGTCGATCATCGGACGGAATCGACTTACCTCAAAGTGGCGGGTCCCGTTCCCAGGTCGAAGGTGAACTGTACGTGTCCCGACGAGAGGTACAAAGCGATGAAGTCCCCGGTAGCGTCGCTATGGTGGCCGTTGTAAAGTATAACGCCGTCCACGGCGGTTGGTTTCAACGTGACAGCCAATTCCAGCCAAGATAGCGACGTGTCGGCCAATCCCGGATACCGAAGATAAGAGGATCCGTTGAACAACGGCACCTGCAAGCCAGAGAATCCATCGGACATGGTTATCTTTCCTACCGGCAGATTTTCCCAAGGAAAATTCTCCGTTCAGGGACGTTCGATCCTTTCTCGTTAGACGAGGGCGTTGCCTTTCTCGTACAGGCTGAGATATACCTCCCACAATTTTAATTCTAATAGAAATGCCACGGCAAGTGGTAACAAAAGTTTTATTTTACCATCGAGACTCGGTTTTGAGCAGTGAAATTAACATTTGATCCAAACCACCTTTTCTTACCTTTGGAGGTTGCTGTTCTAAACGAGTTTGAACATAGGATTTGGGCTAGATTAAATATGCAGTTTATTTATACAGGGCAAAATAAGACGAAAATCACGAATACCAATTTGTTGATCGAAGCTTCGTTAAAAAATTATTGGTATTTTTGATGTTCATCTTATTTTGGCTCCTAGAATCTCCCATTAAAATTATTCCCAAAGGTGGTCGAATCTGTATAGTTAAATTAATTTTTTATCGAATATCGTGATAATATATAATTTCGCATTGAGAATGAATTTAAAATGAACGTAAAATTCTACGTTAAAGTATTTACGTATTACGTATCAAGACTTTGCTTAATCAGAAACTCATCAACGATTCGTAAAATGAATTAGAAAAGGTACTATTTTTACGGTCGCTTGAATGCCCCAAGCTTGTACATCATCGAGGATATCTCAACTTGTTGCGGGGTAGGATCGACTGTTTCGGGCCGAAGACCGTCTATAAAATGTTAGACAAGGGAGCGCCATAAATCGACCGATTTTTCATCGACGACAGAGAAAAATCGCGGACCATAAGATGCTCCCGAGGTCTTCCTCGGCGGCCACCGAGAAGTCGTCTGGCAACGACATTATTTCCCGGTGGTGGCTGGCCCTTATTTTTCCCGGGGTTATCTCGCGGCGTCAATTTTCGAAATGACGTAGTTACCGAACAGGAAGACCGTTTCGCGAGCAAGAGGTTCGCCCGTCGTATATACAGCCGTTGAATTAAAGCTGGCGAGTTCCGGGGATCGCGCGTGCCACACATTATATCGTCGCATAAATTCCATCGACTATCGTAACGGATACCGCGACCAGGTGATAGCAAGAAGAATAAATGTGACATTCTCGGAAAATGGGCGGGAATAAAATTCCACTTCATACACTCCGACGAAGAAGATACATTTCGTAAAATAAATTTTCGAGATCGTAGTAACAGTTTGCCAAAAAAGATTTGTTAATTTCCGGGATTTATATCCGTGGCTCCTTTCTCGGGAAGATACAATAGTGCGTCAAAATGTTAACCGCCGGCTCCATAAACCTGCGGCGTTGAGCGCCCGAACGAAACGAAATTATTATCAGTAAGATAATTGTTCTGGCACTGGAGGATGCTGCCGGGGCGTAAACTTTTATTGCGGATCAATCATCGTAAAAGTAACCGAGCAAGCGGAGTTTAAAACGATTCGTTTAAACGTTTCGACCATTAAGCGGTTCTGGTCCCCTCCGGTAACGCGCGGGTTTATTGTTACTCGACAAAAGAAACTTTCTATCGCGGGATTTCGACTGGATTAAATATCAAATTTATTGAATGGTTTTACGTTCCGGGGGGATCCTAATGAAAATTCGCGTATTTAAAAATAATTTCGTCGAGGGTTCGCGTGAAAGAACATTAAGGACGAAAAGGTGGTGCGTGAGGAAATATCGAGGGGAAACGAAAGAGAATGATCATTGCGGAGGACGTAAAATATAAATTTTAAGCGTAGCCCGGTATTAAAATTACTCCCTTAGCGCGCCGGAAGTAATATCGGCCGACATGCCGATACCAATTTTATCAGACGCGCTTCCGCGCGTCTACGCGGGCTTTTAATGCGCCCGCCATTGTTATAATCGATATCGCCGTGGTATAGCCGCGCATAATCCCCCGTATATTTCGACGCACACGTGCGTGCACACGTGAAGTGGCGTCTGCGGATGAGGGGACAAATTGATCGGTATTATGCCTCCGTGCCCGTTGAAACGTTTAAAAAATCGCCAAGGAACAGAAGGTAAAAACCTTTGTCGACGCGAAATATCGCGGCACGCGTATCGCTCGTCGTATAAAATATTCCCGGCGACGAAGTGGAGCGTTTCGTCGATTTAATACGCTCGAGATCGTCGAAAGCGTCGATTGTTACCCGACGTTTCAAGAATTCAATACGCCGTGCAGGGTGTAATTAAGCGCGATACTCGATGATTCGTTCCTACGAGCACCGATTTCCACGGACTCTTTAAACGTTCCCCTTATAACGTACAATCGTTGTCGGATACTTTGGAGGATTGAAACTGCACGACTTAATAGAACCGAATACCTTTTCATCTTTCCTCCAATCCTCTTAACTTTAAAGTCCAGTAATATTTGCAATTATTGGCTCTTTTATGGAAGTTTTGTTCGTTGCAGTCGCTATGTTTGTTTCGATCTTCAAAATTGATTCTCTCGAAAACGAGGCCTTTCTACCTATTTTGGAATATTTAACATAGAAACGACCACTGAAATAGTCAGTACGTATTCGCAATGTTATTTCGAACAACTGCATTCGATTTTTGTTTTGCTCGGGTTCGTACATCCACGGTGTACGAAATTTCCGGAGAAAACTGATCAATCGACGCCGTAGGCAAAGGGCTTGTATTACGTATCCTGGATAACCGTATTTCCCGGTGAACCGGAACTTCCTTTAAACTCGTCCGACAAACAGCCACGAAGGACTGGAGCTAACAAGTGTCACTTGAAACTCAAACTCGTTCTCGAACTCCGAGAGTACAGCCTCGCCTCCCCTTTAATTCCATATAATACACACTTCCGACAATTCGATCGAATTTTCCGAAAGCTTTATCGGCAGAGACTTCAAAAGCACCGTTGCGCGTCGTTACGAATCCTTTCGTTCGCCGCTAAAGGATCGAATGGAAAGTTCGCGGCGAACGGAGTCGCGTTTACCCGCGATTTAATTAATCGCTGGCGTCTCGAATTCACCGATCGATACAAGATGTTCTCCAACGTCTCTCTTCTTTATAAATAATTGGGTAAAATTCTACAATGTAATTTTATGATCGACAGATCGCTCAGGCTATTGCATAGTTCTGATTAATTTTGTCAATATGTTATTCCACGAATGAAACCGAGCAAAGCGTGTTTTCGTTGGAGTATCGAGCAAACATCGGTTAAAAAATTTCATAACAGAATATTGTCAGGGCTCGTAACGATCCGTTTATTATCGCAAAAGGAACGCGACGAGATTGCAGGGGGACTGTTCGTCACGTCGAACGAACCCGATAAGCAAAGTGGAGGATCTTCACCGGGGGCGAGGACGTCGTCGTCGCGAGAAAATTGTTTCCCTCGTGGGATCTTTCATGCTGCTGGTCTTTCGCATAATACAGGGTCACTTTCCTGCACGGACCCGTGGGATCGGGTTATCGCCAGGATGCCTGGCTTTTACTCGCGCAGAAAGGAAATCGGGTCAGCGGTGCGTCGGAGGACATAAACGACGCCCGAGGTTCTGCCACGCCTCGTAACAATTTTCAAAGTGACGACCCTCCCGCGCCAAATTAAATTGTACTTCTCGTGCCTCGATTTTTTACCGCCCACTTAACTGAAGGTTCTCGTTACGAACGTTAACGCCTTGCCCTGCGATTTAATTCCAGACCAAGCCCGAAATAAAACAGAAATAACTGGGTCGACAACCTTAATCTTCTTTCGGAGAGATATTTCAATTTTAGAAATCCAATGTAATCCCGACACTACCAATAAAAGGTGATAAACACTTTGTCCAATCTGTGGTTAAACGCCATCAAATTTTAATCAGTTGTTCACTACACTCCTATGAGACATTATATTTTCGGTAATGAATTTTTTTCTCGAAAATGCGTAGGATTTCGGTGGTATGTCTATTCACCAAAAATGATCGTAATGCAGCCTTGCATCCGAAAATAATTTTTTCAGAACGATTCGAATGTTTTTTTTTTCGCCGAAAAATTTAAGGGGAATAGCTGTACGTATGGTCAGACATTATATTTTCAGTAATCAATTTTTTTCTTGAAAGTGCGTAGGATTTCGGGGGTATGTCTATTGACCAAAAATGATTGTAATTGACCCCTGCAATCGAAAATATTTTTTCCAGAACGCGATTTGAAATTTTTTTTCCCATAGAGACATTTAGGTAGCTATAGTGTAAAAAACATGTTTTATTTATTTAAATTTACCTGCAAATCCACCCTGGTCTCGCACAGGTCGCCGGTGTATCCGAGAGGACAGAGGCAGACAGCTGTGTCGCCGCCAGTAGTCAAGCATTTCCCACCATGGGAACAGGGCACCTTGCTGCACCTGTCCGCCGTGCATTCCTCTGCAACGACAACAATAAATCATTCGTATCGATTCTCTATCGTACAGTGGCGTAGCTAGAATCTCGTTCCACGACACCGCGAAATCCTTCCGCGATAAAACCGACGAAACTGTCGACTGTTTACGATCGCGGAGACTCGTTCGAGAAACGTCGATCCATTCTTTAGCTCCCAGTATATTCAACGACACTATTCGGGCGGATATTTCACAAAACCGCGACAGCTTTCGTTCGATTCGATCACCGGTACCAAGATGGCCGCCAAAATGATGAAACTCGTCTGGTGTCAGATTCTATATTCAAAGTTACAGAACTCACAAATATTATTTGTCAACAATTTACGTTATTATAATATATATTTTAATTGAAAGAAAACTCGTAATTTTAATGGAATCGTCATCACGACGAGTTTCAGCGAAAACATGTGCAATCGATGTTAGTTTAGTACAACGGTATTAAATGATAAATTGGTATGAGCTCTGTATAAAAACAACGTTGACCTATATTTTGCTAACGTTGAGTGTTTTTCACGTATCATATTTTTGTTAAAATTTTCCACCGGAGTATTTATGGGCTTATGTTCGCGTTCACTTCCCTCTCATTTCTATTCATAGAATATACTGATAAAGTTTGGCCTGAAAATCGAAAACATACACACTCGGGAAATCCTATATACGAGGGAATTGAAATACTGTGTTCAGTCTCGCCTACTATAAGACGAACATTTACGTAACTCGGATCTAAAGGACACGCAATTTCCATCGAAGGAATCTGAACGATCGCAGTGTAAGTTCTTGTCGCGATAGTTGAGCTGGAAAGAACGGTTTATTGAAATTTAGGTGTAGTCGATTCGCTATACACCAAGATTTTGAATGAAAAAAACTTTTAAATAAATGGGCTTAAATTTATTCTTTATTTCCATTTCTTCCACGCAAATTCTCTATCATTTTCTCTGGAATTCGAAAGTCAGTAAATTCTCGCCCTATTTCGAAATTATCAGAGCGTCCGAGTCTCGTGAAATAAATTTTACAATGTACAGAAAAAAACGTTCTCGCCTCTCGGCGACGGAACTAAACTACTTGTTGGTTGTGTTATGGCCCCCAGGGCACAACCTCGTATCGTTTGCTTTGGAGTTTATAGAGTTGCGACTAACCCGAAACTCTTGTTTGATCAGAAAAGAGCTCTGAACTTTGTGTACAAAATTAATACGTTCAGCCGCTAAAAAGACAAACTGACTTCATTTTCTGCGAATTTCTTCATTTTCAAACTGTTACTTTTTATGCATCTGATTGTTTATTTAACGGTTGCATAAACACTATCAAGAGACACCTTTCAAAATTTTAACTAAAAATTATTTCTCCTCGATTGACTTTTTCGCTTTATAAAAATATTATTTTATCAGATACGCGTACAGCCGGTAGAAATAGTGTTAAAATCCATTCTCGCGGGTCGGAGGGGAAAAATGAAATTCAGACGCCAAGTCGTGGCCCGGAAATGGAATAGACGCAAAACGAAGCAATACGGTGGAAAATGCACGCCATCGTACGTATTCAGAACGACGTCTGGGGGCTGCACCGACCTGGAAACGATTAACATTCGAAATAACCTGATTTTCCAGTAATTAGAGTTCAGATCCTGGCTGCACGGTCTTCGATTCGCTCTTCCTTTAAGTGCCTATCCTCATTAGTAAAAAGAAAAAATCGATTTCTTTCCATTTTCTGAAAGTTTGAAGTATTCAGAATGCCTCCCTGCAAATTGGCATTCGAAAAACTGGGACCCGTTGAGTCGTTTCAAGACTTCGTAATTTAACTTGAAACTTCAAAGCTGTTATTAAGCAGGATTCTTAAAAAGCAAAGGAACGATTTCAAATTTTATTGTACTCGCTTTAAAATAGATTACTGACTTTTTTATAAGCAAAATTCTTTACAACGATATTCGTTTAGTTTACAATGTCAGTATAGAAAGTTATTTCGTTAGTCTGTTCTTATTAATGCGTAGGGAATGTTGAATTAAAAACAGAAAGGGCAAAGTAACACCCGGTAAATTGAGAAACTTCGATCCGGCGATTTCGTCTCGTTTCGAGTTCGCCGACCCCCATTGAATCGAATAACCTCGATTCCATCTCGAAGGAGGGAACTTTAAAAATCGTCTGGGTCATTCATTATTACGGAGTCCATACCGGTCACGTACCCTCCACTTCCTTTTACTACCACCGCACTCGCCGTTTCTTCCGCTGGAATTGTATTTTATCCCGTGAAAGTAATCCGATTAACCCGCCACGAAATAGCAAACAGGGTGAAACTTATTCCGTGGAAGCCTTCCTTTTTTTACGCCAATTTCCCTCCGCGATTTCAGGCATCAAATTTTAATTCCACCGGCGTTAATAATTGCTCCCAGAACTTTTTGCACGCGGAACGTGTAAATAACGTTGAGAATTTCTACATTACAGTCGACTCTTTCCTACTTAGAACGTTTACAACTCCGATTTTTCGACCGTGTTCTATAAAAATTGATTACAAACCAAAAATATATTCTATTTAAAAAACTCGATAACCTATTGTTTGAGGATGGGGAGGAGGCGGTTACTTTTCTGGGTATTCGTGAAACGAAGTCACGATGAGCGTACGATATACTTTTACGTCGTTTTGCGTCTCCTTTTTTACCACGACCGGGGGTCTTCGACGTCGCCGCGTGGTTTTCCTTTTGAGGACCGGCGCGCGGTCCAGCCGGGGACCAAAAAATGCATTGGTCTCGGGAATGCGCTCCTTTGATGTATTGTGCACTTTGTCCGAGAATGGAGATATACCTGGCGGAGTGGTCAGACGTCTATCGTCCAGAGAGAAACCGAGAATGCCCTTAAAAGCTGTCTCCAAAGAGGTTACGCTCCGAAGGATTATACGTATCTCCTTCTCGAACCTTTCAACGGAGATTTGGTAGTCGATTGACCGATTTTGGGGACGTTCTTGGCTATTCCTGATAAGGGGAGGCGCGCGAACTTCGATCGTTACTCCGCTTTTAACCCTTTGAGGTGTTTTTTCCCCTCCCTCGTTCGACGTTCCGCGAATCACCGATGGATCTGTTGTCTACCAAGTTTGCTAAACAGATACGAGCGCTGAAGAGCCAATTAGAGGGACAGAATATATGCGTGGGAGCGAAGTGTGCACTGAAAGCAATAATAAAACGCGTTCCATGTTGTTTTCCCATTGTGTTTACCCAGCTCGCATTTACATGCCCTACATATGTATGTATATTTCGGTTTACAATTGCGACGTTATTCCATTTCGGAATGCCTCCTCTATATTCTTTTCCCGTTTTATACGTATGGAAATGCAAACTCACGATCAGCAAAGCAATAAATACACGATTCCTTCTGAATAATTATTTATCGTTTTCTGTTTTATTAATCTATTTCGTTCAATTTTTGCACGCGAAAGTGATTAAAGCTAGAAAACAATTTTAAGAATATCAACTTCTACCAGCGACAAAGTCGTTCGAGGGGGAGAAGACACTCGATGATAAATCAGAGGGCTTAAATAGTAAACGCCGTAGGATTTTCTAGCGAAATTCATGCGACACCTGTTGTGTTCCGTGATATAGGGGTTAATTCGCGCGACCGATACGGTCCAGCTTTCTGGACGTAATGTAACAGCGGAACGCCTAATTATGGATCGCGATGTTTCATCAGCTGCGATTATTTTCGACCGGAATTGCGAAGCTCGGATTACCGCGGCGAAATAGTCTATTACACTTTTACATTACGTTGTTATCCGGCGAATGCTTCCACTTTCGAGAATTCATTTCCGCCTGGTTCGCGAGCTCTCGTCTTCTCGAGACTCATGGAATTATTAATTACCGCGAATAGTTCCCGAGAAACACATAACAGGAGAGTCGAATCTGCTACGAATACACAAAGAACGATCCTCGGTTCTGACTTTAGTTGCTTCTCGATTAAGGAGCTCCAGCAATGATATTAGAAATTCGTGTTTAATAGAAACTGTTTCAAAATGTCTTGTACAGGGTACGAAAAATATTCTGTATTTTAATGGTTTCTACGAGTCCTTCTCTTCGAAATTATTTTAATTTCCCAGAAGTGTTAAAAAATTTATAGCAAAGTTAAAATGCCTAAATGTAAGAGAGCGAGATCCGTATCGAACTTTGCATTCTCTAAAATGTTCAGTGACTCATAGATGGTAGCGTAGGTGGACCGTACTGTGTTCAACTAAAATCGATGACCTGTTCAGGTTGAAAACGAGTACCGTCGGTGTTCGAATCTTTTTGCGAGCGACTGTAGCCGGGGAATACAATTATCCCCGACGCAGCCGTGCGTCGGGCTGCGTAATAATGCAAACTACACGCGTAAATACGTCCTTAAAATAATCCAGGCATTAGTACGTCGAAACGACCGGATGCGCGACGCGTATGTTAATTAACTCGCTTGGATAATGGAGCCGTGGCGCGACGATGAGGCCGCGTCGTTGGGGGGTTTATTCGGCGCGAAACGCGGAAAAACCCCGCTCGATGACAGGACCATTCAGTTTGTTTGTCGAGGAGGAATTTCGATGCCACGCGCGCGCGGAACGATGACGTCGCCTCCCCCGATAATTGATTAACGGTTGATAATTAACGCCAGTCCTTGATGCACTGCCGGCGTATCGACGAACTCCGGGCGGGCGTTCGGGCTCGCTCGCGCGATTAGCCAACCCGGCGCTCTTGTACCGACTTTGATCGTGAACTAATTACCCGGGACGAAAGCGCACTTCGGCTCAGAATTTAATTTAACGCATTCCCACGGATGCGCCCTCGTCGTCGCCGACCGCCGCTGTTACGTTAATCAATGGCTGAGAAAGAACGGAGGAATTTTCGGTACGAAGGTGGCCGCCTGCGTCTCGATGCGCCTTTGAATTTTTCAGCTCCTCGCGCGCGTACAGAAGGAGATTTTAATCCAGAATACCCCGGGGAATCCCGTCGGAACGTCTACAATGTAATTTAACGAAACGACTCCTTCGAACTTCCAACGGCCACCGGGCCAAATTAGGCGATCCTGACGGATTAATTTATTAAGGAACCTTTGTATCGATTGGTATTTTTTTTTCAATTTTGGCGATCGACGTCGTTGATCTCGGTGATCTTGAAGTAGGGCTACTCCCACTCGTATAATGGTGATTTGATATAAATGAAAGAAAAGGTAAATTGAGCTTGACAGTGGTCATGTTGAAAGCCATGGTTTCTGATCGATCACCGGAGTGCAGCATCATTGGGGTGCAGGGTGGGATGAGTTACCGCTTGGGAAAACATCACGTATTTGTTCATTTGTATACTTTGTTTACATTATTATTACAGCTCTCTGACGGTATTATAATTGGGGGTTATTTACGCGTTAATATTGATAACAAAAACAAAAACAAAAACTACTTCGTAATTAGAAGTAACACGGTGTAATAAAAATAATATTTCATTCAAAATAACTTCGCAGTAATTTGTTTAACCCATTCGCTGCCAAGCTTATATTATATGAAGCTATTAAGACGAGTATACTCGTCCCTGGCAGCGAGAATGGGTTAAGACAAAATATCTATATAAGAACAAAGTTATACAAGAACGAAACATACGTGAAACATATGAGAAATAAGGTGAATTAAATTATGAAAGTCCACTTTGAATAAAGAATACTAACCGACGTCGAAACCATTGGCTGCGTCTCCCTGCGGTGCAAGGGGGAAGCGATAGCGGTGTTCATTGGCTTCCAGATGCCGGACGCAGCCCTTAAATCCGGTCCTCACCGGAAGTCGCTCCAGGCCGGTTGTGTTTCCGGGTCCGCCGACGAAGAGCGGCTCGCGGAAGGTAATCCTCGCAAACAAACCCTGCAATCAAACCAGGAATTGTTCGGTTTACGTAGATGCATAAAGCTGTCTTGCTACGGCTTTTATGGTTGTTCAACTACCGATCGAAAGAACTCTGAGGTTAGATATAGAATGCATGGATTCATATCAGTAAAGAAATAATATCGTAGTACATTATACAGTGGTTTTATAGTCCACATTATGTGATACAAAGGTTTTCTGCTATATTGCATTCTTTTAGGAAGGATATACGCTATTAGAAACAATTGCTGTAGGTTTCTGAATTCTGAGTTCAAACGATGTTGAAAAATCCCCTGTGATCGTATCACAGTTTCGATCCTTTGGTCCGAATATTCTGTTAATCGTCAATACGCGACGCATTTCGTTAATGGAAACACGAGATCCATTCGGCACGAGATATCGTATTAGCCGCAGATGCATACCCGTTTCATGTCGAGAAAATTATTTACTGAACAAGCAATTACGAAGGAATTCGTGGCGGCGGGTTAGACGCGCGTGAACATTGTCGGAACAGAATATTCAATTTTGTAATAACTCCACGGGTTTCGTAGTTAAACGTTCCTCGTTACATTCATCTTCCATGCGGGTACATCTCAGCAAAACGTAATAAACCAAATTGATGCAGAACGCTTCACATACGGTGTTTTCAAACGACCGATATTATACCAGTTCATGACGTACTACGTAAAACCTTCGAAATAATTATCAGTTACAACGATGCAAATTCTTTGGAGACCTCCGAATCCGTCGAGAGAATTTCTTAATATTTAGTCAGTTGATCGATTGATGGGAAAAGTTGATAGAAAATAAACGCGTCAATTTTTGACAGCGAAAGGGAGATTATTTATGGGAGGGAACTCCATTTATGAACGATCCTGTAGTCGGGGAACGTCGAGAGCGTAATGCAGTCGGAGATGGCAACGATTTGCGTGGATTATGCATATCCGAGGCGGCCAATATTTGCCCAGGCGACGGTCTAAGTGTACCAACACGAATTTCTTGTATCCGTCTCGTTTCGTGCGCGTACATCAAACGCGCGAATCCTGTCAACGATCCCGTCAGGTTTCCAAGCTAATGCACTTACAAAAGTCTCGGAACTTTCCCACGAGACGCATCGACCCGGGGTCGCCGCGAATCCTGTCGTCCCTGCCTTCGTGGCTCGCGTCGCGATGAAAGGACTCGCCCCGGATCGACGGAAACTTACGACGAGACCCTTGGACCGCCCCGAATCGGGACAGAAAATAATTTTGATCGGGAATCTCGGCGACGAGAGTTATCGAGCTTCCTCGAGGATTTCTGGGCTTCCTCTTCCCGACTCTCGTTTAATCACGCCCGGGACCAGCGAGATTTTTCTGTTTTCTTCCTTACATCGGATAGGAAATTTTTTTTTTACACTTTTTCTACATTTTCTACCCCCCCGACGTTTAAAAAGATTGATTCCTCTGCGTTTCTGGTCTCTTGTAACGTTTCTATAGTTCTTTTAGATAGATGAAGTTGACTCGGACTCCAGAAACTTGAGTAAATAGCAATTTACAATTCGATATAACTCATCAACAAACTGAGCAAAATTGGTACTAGACTGAATTTGAAAAATGTAGATATAGAAAACTTCGTTATAAAAATTTATAGAAAACGCTGAAGCATTGTTTGCAATATTTCTACCCATTCGTGAATAATTGTTGAGCTTCTACGAACAATGGATTTTCTTCCAAATAAAATTTCCACTCTAACGAGCGTCGAAACACATTGACTCGCGTCTCATCGGCTGAAAAGTATCGAATGTAATTTTACCTTGCTCGAATGTTGAAATTATCGTATTCAATGAACTAAAAGATAATAAACGCGTCGTTGAAAGGTTCGAGCGGCGTACCTTTTGACTTAATTTCTCTTTTACACCAATACGCGTCGGCGCATTTGTTTATTTTATTGTAAAGATTAACTTGTCAAATTGCGTTCAAATATTGTGCAAATATTGCTTTCGACAGTCGCGAAATACGAGCGAAAAACACGTTTAATATTAATTGAAAGAGGATCCAGATTCCTGTTCGAAATTTCTCGCGAAGTAATAGTAAGTTATAATCGACTTTCGAGTTTTAATTTCACTCATAGCCCTAACTATAGCCCTGTATCCATTCGAAAGTTCGCGTTAACGATTTTAGAGTCGAACGAGGATTGTTTCGTTAAAGAATTAGAAGAATTGAAAATGTTGACATCGAGTTAACCTGGATATCCTTTAAAAAGAGGACGAACCTATTTGCATAGACTTTTTCACAAGACTGATTAATATTATTAATTTACAGAAGATAAAGAGTACAATTAAATTAAAAAATTCGGAGGTTTTCTTTTCGTAATCGAAAATTCACTCGAGTGAGGATTAACTAAATACGTCTTGGAATTGATTTTGCGCAGTTTTGAAAGAAGAAGCTCGTTTTCTGTGTTACGCGTCCCGTTTAGTTGTCCCCCTTTGACGATTCGCTTATTTCGGAAATGAGTTCCGGAGGAAGGCGAACGGTTGAACCTTCGACGGACCAACATCAAAGGGAACGAGGTTAAATTTGAATTTCTGAAAGAGCATATCTTTTGACCCTGCCCGGACGAGTCTCATTTACACTGATATTTAGAGTATTTCTCTCGGCTCGATGTTAATTGGGCTCGTTTCGCTTCCGTTGCACATCAATGTACAAGATTCGCCGGGGTCTCTCGCGATATTTTCGTAATGGCTTCCCCGCAACTCCTATCCGTCGGATCAAAAGATTTACCTCGTCCGTCACGGCGAGCCTGTAAAAGTTCCGTGAAAATTTCATGGGCCGAGGAACACAGACACAGCGAATGTATCCAAACGCTTAACGTTTCCAACCGGAGTTAGGCAAATTCCATTCGCGCGTTTTCGATCGATCTCGTAAACAAACATCTACGTACGTTTCATTCGTAAATTATTAATGAATTTTTTATTCATTGTTTCGGAATGAAATTGTTAACGTTGATTCTAACCATGAAAGCATCCGTGTAATACCGTAATTATAAATTCTGTAAAACGATATTAATGTACTGAAATGGACTTTGTATCAAAGCAAAGAATCCCGAAATATCTGAAATGGTTTTTAACGTCGCTCTTAAGACGCGACACACAATGTAAATGTAAATTCTGTATTTCTTCGAGCCCCGAGTGGTGGTTACCCCTCTTAACTTTCTTCCCAAAAGGGCTGCTCGGTGTGACGTGCAATTTATTTCCGTTCCATCCATTTTTCACGCGAAACTGCTAGCGTCTATCTGGGCCATTCGCGCCGAAACCTCGCGGGAGAGGATCCGAGGGGGCGTAAAAGGAAGGGGAACGAGGGATAATCCGTCGTTTGTAGGCGACTTTATAAGGCGGCATGATACAATCGGATTCCCCGTTGCTTCTTTGAGAAGAGACTGCTTTTGCTCGACGACGCGTAGAGCCAGCTGACGTTACGATCAGCCGTCAGATGCAGTTAATCCGCCTCCCCCGCCATCCTCCTCCTGTCTGCGGGGAGGCTAATTTCCTACGACTTCGAGGGTTTATAGACCCCGAGGAAAATGAGGACCGCAGCACTCGCTTTCTAATGAATTCCTCTCTGAAAGCTGTCGAGGCAGAAAAGGGGACGCTGTGCCTTGTGTTCCCATTTTTTCAAGATCGCTTCTTCATGATTTCTTATTTTTTTTAAATTTGCAACACGCGAATTTTTTAGGAATTTCTAATAGGAATCCCCCTTAAATTGTTACGTAGCTTTTGCGGCGTGAAATATTTAGCCAGGATTGTGTGGAAACCATTGGCGCAGCGAGTCTTTTTCTACCTTCATTTCGCCCTTCTTGCCGCATTTGGCGGCGTCTTGCGAAAAAAGGAGGAAAAAAGGGGAATTAAAGCAGCTGCGAAGAGCACTGGTTATTTTCTGACCCGTCACAAAGTCGAGAAAATTAGATGCCCGAGAGACGTGCTACGCGTCTCGAGCGGCTTACTCGCGCATTATGCGTTGTTTTATTATATAAAGCGGGTTAACGGGTTTCGAAACTCATTGGTAACTTTCAACAGCAGCTTTTCTGCGCGGTCGAACCAACGTGATTCTGATTTTCATCGTAACAACCGTATTGTGTCGATTACGAAAGAAGCCCTGCCAATAATGAGTCGCTTGGACGTGAAAATCTAACGGAGAATGTCAACGGGAACTATTGTGCCGATCGATCCATAAAAGGAAAACGCGCCCGTCGGTGAGAAGGGATCGTTTAATCCGCGATTTCGAGCCCCCGAGAGCTCCACTCTCGCCAAGATTCTCTTAGAAAGGGTGCTAATTTCTCCCGACAGATTCGCCCGGTAAATAGATTTCCCAGCAGTTTCGATTGGCCCTCAAAGGGGCGCCATGAAATCCGGAAAGTAGCGGAGGGACGTGTCAACGGCGCGAAACGCGGTGGCTTCTGTGTTTTGAGCCGTGGCGCGGCTGTCTCGCGGCAAAGAAGGAAGAAAACTAAAAAGAACCGTCGAGGAGGGTCGAGAATGGCGGGGAGGAACAGAGAGAGGGAGAAAAAAAGAAGTCGGGGTTTGGCTCCTCTAATTACGACGCTGTCGTTAGGACACCGAGTGCTTAATGGCACTTCGGGATAAAGTGGGCTCGGTTCGCGGACCCATTCGCCGGCTGATTTTAAAGGCAATTAAACCCGCCCCGCGGTGAAAACAGACCCAAGGGTCTTCTTCGGCCTACGATCGATTCTCAAAACCTACCTCGTAACTTCTCGATATTGTTCTTCAAAGTTCTGGTCGTGGAAATTTTTAAGCGACCGCTACTTTCCCTTGAAACTCCGTAAAATCATCCCCCGATAGAATTTGCTGCTCCACTTGCGTCGAATTAATTCAAGGAATCGTCGAGTTCCTTCGACGGGAAGGCGCAATTATTAGTCGACAAGGATTCTTCTTCTCGCGCGCGGAAAATTGCGGTTTTCCGGTCGCGTTAAGATCCTCCCTTTCCGTGGACAATATTCCCCGATTGTTTCGCGAAAGTTGGTCGTGAACGAAGTTGGCTATTTTTAGAGGAGCACTCGGAAGCACTCTTTCCCGAAGAAAGTGGCGCCTGTTTCTCCTTCTGCCGAGGCGGCCGTACTAACTTATTACGAAACAATTTGCAAGTCTTATGAGAGAGGTCGAGGGAGAGAGCACCGAGTGCAAGAAAGAGAACGAGACGGGGTGGGCCGGGGTAGCAGGGAGCTTTTAAAGACTTTTAATTCGAGAGCGAAATGCTCGTCGGTGCAATTTAAAGAAAACGCTGTCGCGATCTAATGAAACGCGCTTAATTACTGTGCCTGTGATCGCTTCTTAGTCACGATAAACAGAAACGGAAGCGTGCGTTTCGAGCGTAATTTTTCTTTTCTTTTAACCCCTTTCTGTTGAAACATTAAGAATTCATTACCGAGCTATCGATGAACATTCTCTTGAACATAAATTAACATCGTAAATGTAGTGAACGTGTTTGATAATTAGGTAATGTAGCTCTATTCGTTATTTGAAATTAAACTCGCCCGAATCTGGCTGTCGATTCAACGCAGAATGGAAGCTATTTAATAACAATTGTTCGCACAGAAAGAAAGTTTCAGCAGCGAGGGGACAAAGTTTCACAATTACGTGAAACATGTGAAGTGAATTAAACAAATTCTATAGTCCATTATGAAACATTGAACGGTATTAAATTGAGGAATATTTGTTTAAAACAAGCAATCGGTATTCTTCGGTTCGACAAAATGTAATACATCACTTATGAAAACGACAAATAATACTTCACTGTTACTCCAGATAGATAATGTATTCCATTGAATTTCAATAGTCTTGTAACCGTTTCAACGAATGTTACTGTAAAATTAATATTAAAAACTCTTGAGAAATTCCACTGATTATAAGCCCGTGTAACCCACAATTCATTAAGGGACCCGGTTTAGTAATGATGATCAAAGTTCCAGGAAAACTTCAATAACAAGCCAAAAGCACGTAACTTCGAAGTTTCTAAAGCACATAACTTGAATTAATCAAATTTTGTAGTTCATTATACAAGTAGAACGCTATACGACAGCGTTTTCCAAGCAGGGGTGCGATCCCTAGGGAGGAGGCACCTTAAAATCCAAATAACTTTCGTATACATAAATAGAAAATATATAGAAAATTAAATTAATCTCTTTGTTAAAAAGTAAATTAAATATCTGTAATAAAATCCAGCATGAAAAACGACCGAGTAAGAACGATCGATGAGCCCTAGAAATCTTCGGTAACAAGATGGACTTTCTCTTCTTCGCAACTTCGTAATTACTGAGGCGTGTAAAATGAATTAATCAAACCTTTTAGCTCATTATGAAGCGCTGTCAGGTCACGATATTTTAACCCTTTGACTGGGGGGAAACCAAGAAAAACATTTAAATGATAACGATCGGCTCTGATTCGAGTATGTTTGAACATGAAATGTTAACAAATAATATTTATGAATGAATATTGGTACTATCGAATATTAAGACAATTTGAATAAAATCATGCATGCGATGCATGGTACCACGCACCGACCCAGTTCCATTATACTGGCGCACATAAATTAGGGTAAAATTAGCTTTGCGTAGTAGCCAGGAAGAGGGAATCGATAAACAACCCCAAAGCGATATCGTGATCCAGAGAATTTCCTTAATCGAGCCAACTATGGGCACAACTTTTAGCAGCAACGGATACATTTCACCGATTAAATGATACAGTCCGTTTCGTGGGCGTGGTTCGACCATTTGTCTTTACATTCCAAACCAGGAGGCACGAAATTGCATAATTTTCACGAAAGAAATAATAAAATCTCCGTGAACGAAGCATTGAATATTTTCATGAGCCCACAATATTTATTTTTATTTATTTATTTAGAAAATTAGAAAAATTACCGTACGAAGAAAAAAAGGACCCGGTTCGAATAAATATATTAATACTGTACATGAATAAATATCGAAATATTTTTCCGACGGAAATTTTAATAAATCCGTGTCGAACGCGCAAGAAAATTCATACGCGGTCGGAAAATTCGTACCGAGGTCGAAATACGAAAATAGGGGAAGCGCGAGCCATTGATTGGCACTCGTGGAGTCGAACACGGACATCCGTAAAAATTAATTGCCCTTCTCTTCGAAATCGAACGAGAAGTCGAGGGCATAAAGTCCTGGGCTGCTTTCGAGCTCCATTTGCAGATCTAATACGCAGATTGGCTTCGAAACATCGACAGTGATACTCTGAAGGATCTCAGATCGATGCAATATATGATTAAAAAATATAGAAAATAAATTGCACAAGGTTTCGGAGATCCCATTCACCTTGCAAATTAAATTCACCCTTTTATGCAAGATTTATTCCTATAAGGATGTTTTGTTTGATACTTCTCAATTTCCCGTTGACAATAAAAGAGCCGGGCCATTGTAAACAGACGCGTGAATGCATTTTGCAAAGAAAGTATGGCCATAATGCTCTGACTATCGGTTTCTTTAAACGTCGAAAGTAATATTCCCCGTCAGAAAATTCCCTTTGACGGGTTCCTGTCTTCCAGGGCGTCGCGGCGCTGGAAGTAGGATCCTTTTCGCCAACAAAACGCATACACGGATCCTATTGTTAACTACAGTGCTCTGTTTTAATCACGCCTGCACTTACTCGTCTCGGTTTTATTTCGAGCCAGCCGGGTTTTCGCGACGCGCGGGGTCGACGTTACCCTTTGTCCCTGCCTATCCTGTCCTCTTCTCCTTCATCCCCCTCCCCCTCTCCCTCTTTTCTCTCCATTTTTACAAATGAGACCGAACGACGTCGAAACGAAGCCATCCTTTTGTTCGCGCAAAAGTCCGAGGTAAGTCAATTTTCCCGTCCACGATGCGATTCACGATTATTTTTCCCCTTTTCTTCGTCTTTCTATCCCCCAAACCCTCGACTTCTCTTTGCTCTTTCGCAGACACGTTCGTTTCGCGCTCGATCGAACGCGTCGCTTTTAACATTTTCGACTGGATACACTGGAAACACCTACAGATTTTTGTTGGGGGTTGGACTACTCAGGGGGCTGCAATTTATTTTAAAGACACAAATATATATAAATTCATTTTATATAAAACTATTTCGACGTTTCACATTTTTATTCGACTACGTAATAAATTCAATGCCTCGATTACCTTCTCCCATTGGCGAATATTTTCAAAAAAATGTGTACGATATTACGATCAGAATTACGTCAAATGAAATAAAATTTCCGCTCGAGCTTTCTTGACAGCCTTATAATTAAATCGATTTACGCTTTGATCGAGAGTCGCCCGTTTGCTTTCGATGCCGTGAATTCAAAACTGTTTCGAAATTTTTTGTCGTATTTTCGTTGGGACAGTGTTAAATATCAATTCCGTGGAAACAATTTTACTGCCCGTGTCGATGGCGAAACAATTTATCAGTTTATATAAATCACCGAGTAAACTGTTCTATAGAGTGCTAACGAATCGATAGACGAACCGAACACGATAGATTAATGGGGACAACTTTCCCAATTTTTCTAATTTCAATACTCACGTCACGAATACACTCGTTGTTTCTAAATTAAAATATCGAATATGTTGTCCTGCCTTTTATAATTACGTTTACCATTCTCTAGTTAAATATAGACTTTTTCTTTTCTTCTCTTTTTATTTCCCAATATATACAAAAAGTTTTTGTAGAATTGTTTCACTATTCTTGATGGTTCATTTAACAAAATGAAGGGTCACTACAAACTCTAGTTTTAATGACCCAAAAACTCCACGTAACAAGTACATAACTGTACTGCGCTTGAATGAAAAAAATCATGCCTTATGCTTTTCAAATCAGAATGAAATAACTTTTAAATTGTGAAGAATGCAAACTATCGTTCAGAATTTGTTTACCAATCAAAGAGGAATCGAGAAACCAATCGAAAGAATATATCGTTTCGAATTAAATCGAGCTCGAACGAAACTCGAGGCGATGTTTCTTACGTAAACCGACAAAAACAGAGGCAACATTGTTTATCAAACGACCCAATATATATCGCGTAGCCATGACGGTAATTAACGTCGTGAAATTCGCTTCGGGGGTCTCGAGGAATAATCGACGGGACGCGTGTTTCGCAGTTCCGTCATTAAATGGACGATTTCCCCAGAAAATAACGTTTTCCCTGGGAAACGCGGATCGCGGACGAAATTGCATGCAGGTGAATAACGATGACGTCGGCGTGCACCGAGGCAAGAATACACGGGGAGTCGTGAAAAGATTTGCTCGTCTCTAAAGACGTCAGTCGGGCTGGAATTTTAAAGGGAAACGTCCAGGCAAAGTACTGCCTCTTAACTGGCGGAAAATTATGCCAAGGGAACCGTGCCCGTACGAACGACGCTCGGCGTCGATTTCGGGAAGCGTCGTTGTGTTTTTACCTTTTGTCGTCTACAGAAAACTCGTACACGAAAATTCAAAATTGCAGAGACTACGAAGTCTTCCTTCAGTCTTTACCAAATACACACTTACACGCGAATCTATAACGTTAATTCGTATCATCGTTAAGTAATTATTTTAATTACTCTTAAGCCAAACAATGTTTGTCTGCCTGTATCTTCAAAGTTCGACGTAATCGTTCTATCAACACAATCCACTATTAATTAGAGTAAATAATGGCTTCTGTAATGACGTTGTTACGTTGTACGTATTTTCCTCCCCTAGCATCAGTAATCCTCTTTAGAAATTACGTATGCATTTCGATTCATACAATATTTTTGCCTATTCCGAACGTTCGCGTGGAATCTTTTATTCTCCGAAAGTGCCTTTGGCCTTTATCGTTCTGGATTGCTGGGAATTTAAGGCAACCCGGAATAATTTATCAATTGCAAGTGTACCCTAAGAAATCTATGGAACCGAGTTTCGTCGGAGATCGATGGTTTCTTTTCAGTTTCGTACACGAGCGTACGCTTCGACGACGTCGTAAGGGATAAAGTATCCTTACCTTCGATCTTCCCTCGACGCGTTTCTCTTGATTCAGCTGAATCCAAGCGTCCCATCGGTGCCTGTAGACAGTCAGGGTATTCCATTCGTTCAGCCTTACTGTTTGCGTGCTCCTGACGGTGCCGACCCCGCTACCGCAATCGAACCTTTGAACAAACAGAACGATTACGTCGGCGTCGTTCTTCCGTGTAATACGACAACGCCTCTTTGGCGATACACTCGAAGAGGTTTAAAGGTTCTCCCAATAAGTCTGGAATGACTTTGTCGGGTCTTTTCGAAGCCTCCTTTGTCACACGGACGTCCGGAACGTTGCTACTTTTACTTCCCTCACCCCCTATGGGCAAAGGTATCGCAATCGAAACTCTCGAAAACACTTTTTTTTACCGGAAAACATATTTCGAAACTTCTGTATATCTCATCGAACGTCAGCAGAACAAAGCCACGTTATTAATCCCTTTCTATTTCTATTTGGTTCGAATGGAATTTATTTGATTTTTATGCGTGTAATTGTTTCTTTGATCCAGCTTCGAGATTGCATCTAAATTACGAGGTTCCACCGTTTGCACCCCGAAACTTTGACTTTTTCCAGGCTCTGTGAACGAGAGGGACATGTGTCGCGTAGCGCGAAAAGCTCGAACGTCAAAGCGGAAATTAAAAAGCATTATCTATTAACTGTTCCGCAACGTCGACGTTAATAAGAGGACGAACAGAGGGGTTTTATCGCTCGCGATACGAACGCTTGGGAAATTTCACGTTGCGTGAAAAGGGAAATTCATCGAAACGAACGACGCGTTTGGACGTTGCAATTACTTCTTTATAACGTTTCGTCTATAGATCCTGCGGCCGGGACGCCGTGCTCCATTTCATCTCGCGATTCACTCGCTACTCGCTGGACGATTAATCGACGCTTTAGAAGCGATTCGAGAATGCGTCGAATTGGAAAGCGAAGTAGGGAACGGTTGCCAAAACGTACCGTTTCAAATACTTTTATATTCACTGTTTCCTATTTTTACGGAAATAAATGTCGTTGATGCGCTTATTATTGCTTGTGAAATATTAATCAGTTATGAGCAGGGCTCACGAAATTACTGCCTTTTTTTTTATTTGAAATATATCGAGCAATGACGAGAGTAATTAGAATATTTTCTACAAAATTCAATTTAAACAAAACGTAAGCTTGCAAGAAATTTAACATAAGCTTTCGTTGATTAATCTGGACCGTCGTACAGATCAAATCTGCGGCTGAAAATGCCCTCTCTGATTCCCCATTTAGCAAACAAACATAATTACTTGACATGAATATTGATGCAATATTCATGAAACTGTTCATCCGTGATATAAACATCGATCGATACTAATTCTACTTTCGGTAATTATCGATAATCGATCTTTGTATTACCAGCAATATCAAAAATAGATTTTGCTTCGTTTATTGACGCTAACGATAGACAGTAATTTCGCGAATGAAAATAACGAAGACTTAGGGTAAAGTCAAGTTATAAAACAATTCTGAACGTTGCTTGTTACAAAGTTAAACGAAGGCACGTACGATTCAACGAAGTTCGTCGATCTATAATGCGGGGTACGTGTTGCGTGACGCATGATTCGCGTGCCATGTTCTCATTTGCCGATATAAAATGCTGAAAGGCCGTCATTAAAAAGTAATAAGGACGAATTAATTGCCGGTCGTCCAAAGACATTTGAATATCGTTTTTTCTTTTGTTTGGTCGTTCATCTTCCAGGGTAATATGTTGGGCAAATTTCTCACGTTTCATTAACCGAAAGATCCGATGCTAAGTCATTGGTGGCTAAAATAGCGAGGGAAGGTTAATAATTAAATTTACCCACCAGAGTATTATTCTGGTTAATTATTCTGGCCATGATTAAAGACTCCTACTAGCGCCCTGGTAAACGGGGCGTCCATGTGCCCAAGGATCCCAATTTATCACGTTGTCACGTAATAAAGTAATCTTCGCGTACCATTAACCCCTTGAACTCGATTTATTTTCAGAAATTTTGTATCCCGGGGTACATTATTTATTTCGCAAATAGCACGATTCCTCCGTCGTTCACGGCGATGTTAATAACAGCTTAATAATAGCTGAACCTCGTCTTTGTGAAGTACGCTTATTTTTATTTGCTTGCTCTGTACTTCTTTTTGTATACAATCTTGGCACATCAAGGATATTATTATTATTATCTTATAGAAGATAAATCAATACTTTCAGCGTCGTCGTGTACAGTATTTTTTCTCCAATAGAAAATAATAGAAAACGTTCACTAACAGAATAATTATTCTTATTTAAAAAAATACTTGAATACAAGTCTTTTAGATTTTCTTTGAAAAGGTTTAACATAGACCCAAATAACACGTAGGAGATACAATTGAAAAACTGTCCCCTACGTTTTCCACGTGTCGAACTCGAAATACGACGACCCTTCGTCGAGTTTCGCTGATCGATTCTCGCGTTGCGTTATTGTGTTTCATTTTTCGGTTTTTTCGAGGCTCATTTTCGAAACGACTACGACTAGAGGGAAGACAGAAAGTTCCACGCGGCGCCAAGGGTCGGATTCTAAGTTGCGGTAATTATCACTGTCGGGGGTAAACGACATGGTAATGAGAAATTTTAACGAGTTGTGCCGAGTGCACCGTAAATCCTGCGCAGTCGAAGTACGTAATTAATAGCACGCTGCTCGCGGCACGCGTGCTACTTGGAAGTTTTCAGGCGCGCAGTTGGCGAATCGAAACTTGAGACTTAATGTTTTGCACGCCAGTGTGGGTGACTTTCTGTGTACGAATTGACACAAGAACCCCAGCAACACTGCGCGTAGTTATCGTTGGTTCTTTCGTTCCTATTTACTTCTATTTTGCTTCCATTATTTCGAGCTTCGACGTCCACGCAATATTCCGTCGATAAATCTGGGTTAAATAATTAGAATAAATAAAGAAGGATGATTCTGTTTTCCAGAGTAACTAGATTTCGTGCACTGTATTAGTTCCGATAAAATGTTTAATAACATCGAGTGCAAATTAAAACACCAGAGGGATGTTCTACGACGATGTGTCCTCGTGTTAGTCGAGCGAGAATCGCGCGTCTTCCATTCGAAAGCCGTTCAATTCGAGTCGAGGCGGAGCTTTTCCAGGGACGAAGAGCCAGCAAAATAATTAAGGACTCCCGGGAGGCATATCGCGAGATCGCGACCCTGACCTTCTTCGAGCCACACTTTTTCGCAATCCCAACCCCTCTGCGACACACACTTGACATTATCACGACGTCGATGTGACATATGCGAGCGAGAGAAAGTCACGTACCGAGACTTCGAGCTCTATCGGGATTAAAGAACAGCGAGAATTAATCATTCACAGTCGCCACTAGAGGAACAATCAATGAATTTAGGGTACCTCGAGAATTTCACTACTTTTTTAAAATGAAACCGATCGCTCGAGAAATTTACGAAGATATTCAGGCATTTTTGAACTATTAACAAGTGTAGGTAATGTTTCATTTTATCACCAGCTTTTTGAGATACTTTTCAACAAATAAGACAGAATGGAAGAAGGTTCTTAACAAATTTAGACATTCGAAGGTACGGTATCCTACGATCTGTCTTCGTCGCCACAATGAATGATCAATGGCTGACGTCGTGTTACGTGTTCGCGTCTTATAGAAACACAATATGGCGTGTAGAAAGGAACAATGGCGCGTAAGTGACTCCGTCTGTGGACAACACTGGTGTAAAACTAGACGTCGTGTCTGGCATGATTCACAGCGGATGAAGTGGCCTTGGGCGGGCAATTGAGTTTCACCCGACCGCAGTTTCCACGTTCTCTACACGGTAGAATTTACTCTTACGACCAGGGGAATGCACAGGGTGTCTTATAAAATTCGACCAAGTTACGTAGTACTAACTCTAACTTATCGTTGCTCCGAAAAGTTCGAGTCGATCGAAATTTCATGAAATGATCATTGTCAGTAACGTCAAAAACATTCAACAGAATTGTTACGAATTATATTATCCGAATAATGTATTTACTCGTTGTAATATTTTAGTAAACAGTCTAGTAACGCGTATTGAAAGTGCCAAAACTTTGCATGCGTGTAATTCCGAAGCTGCTCATGCTTTATCCATAATTAAGCCACTGTTAGAAGTGGCGAAGCTTCCTCTTTGAAATGGCTTTTGGTTTTTGTCGATCCGACTTTCCGTTTTCGAGATATCGTAATTTATGTAAAAGGTAATTTTTGTGATTCGACTATCTTTCTCTCCGTCTTACGCTCGGACCTCCTTCTCGCTCCCGCGGTGTCCCCTATTACGATAGTCTGACAGTGCATATTAAAAATACTAAAACTTTAGAGGCGTGCAGTTCCGAAACTACTAGTGTTTCTTCCATTATTGAGCGATTGTCAGCGGCGGCAAAGCTTCCTCTTTGAAATGGCTTTTGGTTTTTGTCGATCCGACTTTCCGTTTCGGAGATATCGTAATTTATGAAAAATGTAATTTTTCTTAATTCGACTATCGCTGTCTCCGTCTGACGCGTCGCGCCGGACCTCCTTGTCGCACGTGCATCGTGCTGACCTACCTCACGAACGTGACTGGCGTGACCTAGTTCCGGCGTAGTATTTCCAAGAATTTACTACGCATTGTTTACTATTTCCGCGCGCGCACGTTCATTGACCTCGCGCCGGACTATCTCCGTAACTAGCCACCGCATCGACTTGAAACTAAAATCGCTATATCTCCGGAACTAATAAAGCTATCGACTCATACAAACGCTCATTTTAAAGGGTATTTCATCCTCTATCCAATGAGCATAACTACTTTTATAATTTATTTTACCTTATATGTTTATTTTGCAATTTACTTTGACGCAATAGTACTCAAAGATTTTTAAGCAATTCCTATCGATTATACAACCGTTCCGCGATAAACACTACACTATAAATTCTTTATAATTGCCATATTACGTACGTGGAACAAATAACTACTACAAAAGTGCCGAGAAAAATTATGTAACACAGAACGACCAAATTATCGTTTCGAAAAATATTGGGAAACTAAACCAGACCTAAGCTAGAGGTACAAGTTACATTATCCCGATAAAATAAAAGGGTAAAACTGTCGGAACTCGTGGGTACGAGTTATTTGTTCCCGGTATTTACCAAAAAACAACAAGCAAGGGGATGACGGAGGTAGACGTCTCCTCTTTCAAAGAGCTTGATCGTGGCTGAAGAGGTCTAGGGTTAAACAGTTTCGTGGAAGAAACACAGTGGATACGGCGGGTTCTCTCGACAGAATCTTTTTGGCCGTCTTCCAGGACCCAATTTCTATTTTTGTCCGATCCACGGCTCGCAGGATATTACTTCCGTTTCGAACGGGGCAACCGAGCTGCCGCGGCCGTGTAACCGTAACGCGGACATCCGTGTACGTGAAAGTGATTCTTTGAGTTCCCGACGAAAGACCCTGGAAAGACAGCCACAACGGTAGATACGTGTACGCGGCTTAACCGAAGAAAAGGCTACTCAGATTGGATAGGTAAGCCGGAAAACTCGGGCGGCGAGATTTTCTTCCGCCGTTGAAAGCGAACGGTAACTACGTACGTGTATAGGATAACGTGGATACCTCTTTCAGAACGGTTCGCCCGCGCGAAGATTTCATTTCGGTTGAAAGCCCGTCGAGATCTTTGCTACTTTCACGCTGGAAAGCGTCGTTTAGTCGGTATCGGGGATTATTAATAGCACTGGAGTACCCGTGCAATCGTCGCCAAAAACTTTCTACGAATGCAGAATCAATGTGTCGACGACCACTGCTCAGGATTCGATTAGGGAAATACACAATGCCGGACATATACCAACAAGGGTTTAAATAAATTCCCATTGTGATTTTGGATCATAAGGAGCCTTTGTTAAAATCTTTTTACCAATGTCCAAATAAACACACCATATTTATAGGAAGAAAATTTATAACTACGAAGCATAAAGCTAAAACTCGTAGCGTTGCACAGTATTTTTTTTCAATTTGCATTTCAATTCGTCATTGCTGAAGAGAAATGTGCACACGGTGGAAACGTTGAAAATTAAATTCTAGTTATTAAAATTTAATAAACATTCGTAGTGCGGCGAAAAAAGCCACTCTGTTTTAGGAGTACCGTAACAAACAGGTAGCGAGTACAGTCCCGTTGATGGAATCTGGCTCACCTGGTCCTCGAACGTCGCGTAAATGAATTTTCGGTCGACGTTCCACGGAAACTAGGCTTAAAGCTCCGATGGAGTATCGCATAAACGAACTTCGTTGGCAGTATATTTTCCTAACGCCGGGAGACGGGGGGCCACGGAAACGACGAAGTTTCGCCCGAGAACTTTTACGCGACACTTTACTCAGCCCTTTAACGAAGGTTTGACGTGGTCATTAATTAAGATTTCCGGACGGCAGCTAATTTTTCGCTTGCAGCTTAATAACCCGTGACTGGCGACGTACTGGCACCCGATTTATGGATCTTCAACGTCCACAGGAATACCGAATGTGATTCGTTCATCATTATTATTTTGCGAAGAAAGAAGGGGGAAAACAATTTTAAATATTTATATTCTGCTCAAGGAAATCGCAAAATAACAGTTGCAGAGCTTGGAAGATAAAAGATTAATATTAAATTTAAAATCTGAGTGTTTGTGGTGTCTCTGGAAATCCTACTATTTTAGTGACTTGAAACAGATTCGATCGAGGACTGTTTTAAATAAGAGAAATTTTTATTTCATTCTGTTATTATAAAAAATTCAAATAATTGCTTCCGGTTCTTCGTCGACTACCACATTTTCTCGACGAAGTTTCCTGAACGACGGAGTGCTCGTTTCCGGAAGAACAGTGACGTTTTCGCGGAAGACGAGACCGAGAAATTAATTCGAGCACGGAAATACGTAGTTAATTACCTAGATGACCCGGTTCAAACGATCGAAACCCAGTCTCCATAGAAACTCTCCGGCCGAACCGTGGATGTAATTTATTCAATACTGCTGGGATAATCGTTCATTGTTCCTCGGTTTCGTTTCCATAATTCATCGATCGTACGCTAAACGATCGGCCCAGGGATTTGTCGTTCTGTTAAGCAGACCTCGATGCGGCGCATTTATGCATTAACGAGCCGAAGAATCGGCCAGAAATAATCCGCGCGATAAATCGAAAAGTTGGATGCGCGCCGCGGCCGCCCGGAAGCGTCGAATTCAAAGCGCCCAGGAAATTGGAAACTCAAATCCTGTAACTTTTCAAAACGCCGCGAACTGTTCCGTTATTTCTATCAAAATTAATGCAGTTGCTCGACGCTGTTCGTAATAATAATTTTCCTAACATTCTTTACGGACAGTCACAAAAATCAAAACACAATACGAACCACGAGCAATGGAACGTATGCACGATTCCAGAGGGAATGTAGAAAACGGACAAAACTGGGCCAAAAGTTACTCTGTTATTAATAATTCACAATGGAAATTCGCTTGTATCTTTCCTGTACGATATTACTAATGAGAGAATCTAACAGTATGCTTCGTTGATTTCTAAATGGATTGCAATCTTTAACAAATAGAAATCAAGCCAAAATCGAAATGGAGTCCCAAACGTGGCTACGGAGAAGACAACGGCCCCGTCGATGGAAATTAACCTACACTCGCGTTCGAGATGAGCGTGAGTGAACCAAGGTGTCTCCTCGATATGAGTTTGGTTCGAGTTTGCCGATCGCGTCCCCGTCTGACTGGCAGAACGACGGTGTTTCGCGGTAAATTGAAGTAAATCGCGGTTTCGCGCGAACCCTTTGATGTCCTGCCGTTAATGGGCCAATGAAGTTCCGGGGAAACTTCGGTTATTGCCGGAAGTTGTGGAAACTTGCCAGAACATAATTCGTCGATGCACGACAGCCAACGGAGCACGGCTCGCGGCAAACATCGCGGCTCGTTATATCGTTCCGATCGATCGGCTTCGAGCGTCGTCCTCGATTTCGGCCGAATGACCGATTATGGCGATCAACTTCGAATTCAATTCGTTCTTTCGCGCTAGAGATTCCACGAACACCCGGCCATTAATTGCCCGACGGATCACGCGCGACCTAGGAAGCGATTACTCCGAGAAAACTGGGATTCCAAACACGAAAACGCTGAAATGGCTAGTAGCTTCGTGTCAGAATTAACCCGTGAGAGAATTCTCTTGAGGAATTACTTTGAATCAAATCTGAACTTGCAGTAATATCGAATAGCAGTAAGTGAGAGATCGAAGCACTCTGAGGGTTAATAATACACGAGTGAATTAACTTGAAATGTTCGAGATAACATATTTTGTAACAACGTCAACAATTTCCAGCCAAATGCAAAAGGCGTCGAAGGGTACCTTTTTGGTCGAAGTAGGTAAAATCGCGGTGGGAACAGTGTTATGGGTTAACAGGGCGAAGGTTTAAGAGGCGATTCGATTACCTAAATTCGATGAAGCCGTGATGGAGTATCAAGGCCATGAAGTCGCCCTGAAGATCGTCCCTCTCCCCGGCGAGGAGCAAAATTCCATCCCACGCCTCGGGCCGGAATTCCAAATCTAATTGAACGTGCTTGTAAGCGGCCTTCAGAGCCGGAAACGCCAGCCAACCGGATCCCGTGAATCGTGGCGACCTCACTTCGGCCTCTGGAAGCAAAAATTCCCATCGTTAACAAACGGCGCTTATTATTATTGCAATTGTACGTCGAGCATTAGCGCGACGCGATAAATTTGATAAATTGCACGATTCGCCGAGGATTATACGACAAAGAACACCAACGGCGGAGGGGTCTCGCGATGTTATCGACCCTCGTGCAGCAATTTAGCAACAATTCAATTTGCTTTTGCAAATCGTTCCACGCTAACGTCGCGCCGCGGGGTACGCGATCCACGAATGGCTTCAAGATGTCTGCAAATTGATAACTGGACTGGATCTTTGTACAAATTCATATTTTTATTAATAAAACTAATGAAATGGGAGCTTCGTTGAGGGCTGTCTCAACCCCTAAATATACATATTTCTTATATTTTTGCATATTAAGTGAATTTTGTAGTCTTGTTAGAATTAAAATTTCCAAAGAAAAAATATACGAGACTTAATTAAAAATAATAGAGAGGATTCTACGTAAAGACGGTATTCCATCCTCTACATTTGTTTTAATCGTTTTACTATGTGTCTGGTGGTAGTCACGGTTTTCCCCCCGTGAAAAGTGGCTCGGTTTTTGCCCCTTCTCCATCGAGAATTCGAGGAAACGAAGAAATATGGTTGAAGTCAAGGGGGCGGAAGAGGGACAGACAGGAAGCTGGGACTCGAGGATGCCAGGAACGTGCGAGGCTTAAGGAACATCCCTTACCTTTGGCGGTGCAGAGCCGACTATCAGTCAAGGGAACGCTACGGTACATGGGAGAAGAAGGTCCTCGCTGGTAGTACACGCATAAGCGTAAGGGCGACGATAAATCAACTCGACAAAAGGAATGGGGAAAGCTTGTACTCAGAAATAGAATAATACCTCTTGATCGGGGAGTAAAGTATTATTCGACCGTATAGCGAGAAGCTCGAAACGTTTTATTTATGGACCAGTCTGCACAAGCTTTAAAACAATAACATCTTCAACCCCGTCTATCGGGTTTTTCTCGATGGTCGGTTGGAAAAAGGATATCATATATCATCTTCGACGATATACACAGAGTGAATTAATTTTACATTTTCCTCCAATATGTCCAATTGTTCCTTCTGTTTTTAAACATTAAATCTTATACTCTATGATCGAAATTTCGCTAGTTTCCTTTGAATTTCGATCGTTGCTCTATCAGACTCGTGGCGAAAATTGCTGGCCACCGAAGGTCACAGTCCCCACCACTTCCGGTTCGTTCAATGGCTCCGCCCACGCGTTCCAAAGACGGAAAGCGCAACCAAGAGCATTCGTTCTCTCTTTTTCTCTTAAATAAACAGGCTAGCGTGGCACGAAAAAAAGTGGGGTACTTGGCACGGTTCGCGAGTCGGTGGAGGCGACCTTGACCAAAATTCTCCGCTCCAGCCATATAAAATAACCGGCGCACAAGCTCAGATTAAGTTCGTCCAAACGTTTCAGGGGCATCGTGAATGCGCAACGCGTCGCGTAACGAACCAGAAAATCGTGTTGTTTGTATTCCGGGGCGCAAAAAATCACTGGCATCATTTTCAAGGAACAAACAAGAGTCTGGGGGGGGGCTCCTCTTTCCGTCGTTTTGTCGGTCAGCCTTCATTACCGCGATGAATCCGGGTCGGGGTTCTCAGGTTCGTGGTTCACATTTTTAATCGTCTCCGCATCGATTGCTTGCGACGCGACCGTATAATAAATGGAACGGTTAGTATCGCGGGAAAGAAACGTTGCAAATTTTTAATATATTTTCCGCGTTGAACGAGTTTCAGTGGAATTTTATACTCAAATTCTCGTATTCTCATCTCGAGATCGGATTAGACACGCGTAAAATTTTAAAGAAGTCCTTCGAAAGTAAAATAAATTTTCGTCTTAATTATAATCAAGAGTATGGTAGAAGAATAAAGTTCTGCACTCTATATTTTTTTTTCAGTTTTCATTAAAACTCCGAAATTCTATCTTGTATCGACTCGCTAAAAGTTTGTTCCGAATTCTCCAATCCACGGAGACTGTTCAAACTTAGATTAGCATCCCGGTTTGATCATCACTCTCGCTGCTCTTGCAGAAGACAGTTTCCATCTTGGAGACGCGTCCAACCCAGAATCTACCGGTACACAGCTACGTCGATGAATCCAATAGCGGGTCCCGGACGGAACACCCTAATTTTCAATTCCTACTTTCGACCATACAGAATGTTTTCGACCAGAAATTCCAACCCGCGGAACGTTTCACAGTGCAAACTCTGGTGAAATATTCCCACTATTTTGATCCGTTGTTCGATCGTGTAACGATTCGCTATTGAATAGCGAGCATTGCACGGTACAAATTTCGCAAAATGATAGGCAAATATTTTTCTTCAATTTTCCAACACTGCCATTAGAAGACTCTCGGTTCATACTGAAAATTCATACAAAGACTCGGCGCGAAGTAGACGTATGTCGTGTGAAATTTCGGCGTCGCGACGTTGGTCGTCGGAGGGGGTTAATTCGAAATTACGAGGTACAACGGAGGTCCGATCGAGCGAGAACGGATCCGGACTGCGACGCCGCGGCGCGTCGCGTCGCGTGCAGACACGAATGCGTCCGTCGGTCGTCACGTATGACCGCAATGCACTTCCGATCGTGCCGCCGCATTTTTATCATCCCCGACGAAATGGACACGGTTTGCTCGCGGCTCGCCACCCGGCGATTTATCCGACGGATTAGCCAGACGCGCCAGAACACACAGTCGGTTTTATCGTTTAGCCGAATTAGCTTGCAAAGTGGCGTGGATAGAACGAACCGGGCCCGATCGGATTAATGATTCTTAAAATCTCGTAAATTTATCAACGATATCGACGATATCTGTGTGTACAAACTTTCTACGACTCTTACTTTTTGATCAGAATTAATAAATAAAGTCTTTTCATCGATGCATTGCAAGTTTCTTTCCCCGGTGCGACGTCGAAGGAAATCTTATGAAATTAAGTTGACAGTCGACGCGATAAACCGTTTCTTATAAGTTTTCTTCATCGTGGAGGGGGCTAAGAAAGAGAGGCGTTATTAAGATTCGTGTCGAACGTCACCGCGACAGGACGTAAGTAGCGCAAGCTCCGGCCGGAGACACCGCAAGCCTTTTGATCTTTGGTGATTTGCATAAGGGCACGCCCTCGAATGGTAAAACGATCAATCAAGTCACAGCGTGGAACAAGCATCGTCCTTTCGTGTCGTTGACGATGCTCGTTTCGGAGCTCCTCTGATCGACTGCATCCCCCTCGAATCTTAAATTAAAAATCGAAACTACCGAAAGGTAATCGCGCGAGTTTGAGAAATTAAAAGAAATACGTATGAAATATTCACCAAAGTTTGAAAATTTTAGAAGTGAGAATGTATCTCACATAGTTAATAAATCGCTGTAGTTTTATACGAGTCTTCCTTGCGTTTAACTTGTCTTTTACTTTTCTCGTAACTAGCGTGTTCCCAGGGTCTTAATCGTAAGCTCCGGCTTACAAAAAGCTTTAAGAAGAAGTTCGCGTCGGAAGTCGAAAGAGCAGCACGAACCCATTGGTAACAACGAACCAAGGAAATTTCGTACAGAAAAATATTAACGCTCATAGTGAAAATAACAGTGGTTTAATACGCTATAAACTTTAGCCAGTTACGGCTACGAGGGGCATTACGGGGGGAGCAAATAAAACTTGCACCGAGAATCAGGAGCCAAAAAGGATTGTGAAACGCTGCCTTGTAACAACGGGACGCGCGTGTCGGCCACTTTGCATGCAAATAGAAGCTTGCGGTTCGCCGTCGCCAACACGAACCGAATTCCTCCTTTTTTACTCCGCCTCTAACGGAGGATAACGTAGAAATTAAGACGCAAATTTTAGTGTTTCGAGCTCGTTTCGCCCCGAACTCGTGAACTCGTTAGCAAGTAACACGACGCAAGACGTCGCGAACGTTCCCGCGATAATAAAAGCAGCTTATTAAAACGCGAAATTAGCCGCTGGATTAATCGTAAATAGCAATCAACTGATATTCGTGCCCTGGAATACAAAATTAAATGATCGAGGTTACGATACATTATTATTTTTTTATTCTTAAAGAGGTCGTTTAAGATTAAAAATTGTACGTACTTTCTTAAAAATGTATTATAATGTTTACATTCAACATTGCCTATAATTTATAATGAAAATTTTGATACTGTATGAATACTAGAAATTGTATTTTTATTTTAAAAATCGACCAGGAATTGGAGAAGGTACGATTGATAGAAATTCTCCGAGGAAAAATTTTGTAAGAAATATCGGCCAAGCGTGGGATCGTTTGACAGTTTATCGTTTTGGTGGTCAGCGGAATAAACTTGGGGAATTCGGTCGTTCATTTTCTGGGGCGGTCTGTGTATGAACGTCCATCGAACAGTTGCTATTAAACTTTCGGAATGGATTCGGTGAGCCCGGACGCAACGGGATTGCGCCGCGAGGAAACTTGTCGATTGCGACACTCTTCTGTTTGGCGTGGCTTGCAAATCTTCGCGTGCGATAAATCGCGCCCCGGAGCAGCCGAAGTGGTTAATTGAGGCCCCCAGAGAGGAAACTGGTTCTGGCGACCAGCCAAAGTGACTGATCATATACGAGCAGAAAGACGGAGGTTACTGATCCCGTCGACGCGACGATTTATATCGTCGAGATCGCGCGGTGTACCAAAACTGTCATAACTATTACCATATTCAACCGCACAATCGATCCTTTCGCGTCTCTGGATCTCCAAAGATTGCAAACTGTTCAATATTTATAAGAAACATTTCAACACAGTTGTCTCGTACCAGACGATGTCGATAAAATATTGCAAGTTTCACAGATTTTATTGTCCCGAAATAACGAACGAATTAAATAATACTTATAGCGTTATTTTCCTTTTGTTTTTCGTACATTTTTAACGCGTTGTTGAGAACGAAAAGAAACGCTCGTTAGAAGCAAGTGCCAACTTGAACGAATACGATAAATGCTGGGTTTAAAGTGGAGAGCGTTTGGAA